TTTTAAAGTTTCTGATACTATTGGATTCTGTTAAGATCACACAAAATAGCTAAGAGCAGATGCTCTATGCTCTATAATTATTCTTTGAACAACAGTAAATGATTTTGGTTAGGTAAAGACACCAATATTTAAACTAAGACTGATTAAATTCAATCAAGGCTTTTTACTTCCTGACAAGGCCTTAGGTATAATTTTAGCAAATGAACAACTTAAAAACTTAAGTCCTAAATTGAAATTCAATATGTGGCTGACATAAACTCTGCTGTTTAAACTGACCAGTTCGTCAGTTACAAAAACAAGCACTATGAAGATTAAGTTAAGCAGGCTTTATATTTCCTATAGCCTCCAGTTCCAGACTACATCTGTTTTCTTTGATACACAAAACCAGAGTTAAAATAGCCCCATTTATCACAGCATGATTGTAGGCAGACAAACCAGCCTGTCTGTTTCCAGATAGTGAAAGCAACTGTTATTAATCACAATTACAGGCCAAACCTTCTAAGAGAAATTGCATCAATATTCTCACAACCCCTAACCCTCCCCGCTCTTGAACTCAAAAATGGTGCTGAGGGTGTCATGACTCTGCCTGAAGGTCAGTAAACAAAGATGCTACTATGAGGTTAACTTGAGTTTTAAGTTCAGGGTGCAAATTAAGGAAAATATTTTTTATACATAAGTAATCTCTCAAAATCTCTATTATTAAGATTAGCAGGACAATTAAACCCACTCCTTAAAATCTATATAAAAGGTGTCTGCTTTCTGAATCTATACTGAATAGCACAGGATATTTGAAATTTACAAATTAGATGATTCACTTTAAGCAGAAAAGCATTTATGAAAATAGATATTTTCCTATGCCAAATTTTGCAGTCAGTAGTGTGAAGGAAATTATTTCTCTTTTAAACAGAACTTCCCGAAGAGTGAGACCAACTGCAGTTTATGGATGAAAATATGTTAAGACAATTGTTGAACCATATCCCTTGAATTTGGAGCTTTTTCAAATAATCTGCAACTCCTTCTTCAATGGTTAGGTTGAGGTTTTAAGAATATAAACCATATACTAGACTTACTGGGGTGAACACTTTGTAAGTTATATAAATGTATATTCATTATATTTTACACCTTAAACTAATATTATATATATAAAAAAAAAATTCCCCACAGTCCTTGCTTTATTTCTTTTGGCCACACATGCTTTAAAAAGTATGCACTCACTTGCAGAACACCCAAACATCAGGAATTAAAAGGGCATAAAACATGGAGCTTACACGCTTGAAAGAATACACAGTCTTTAGAACAAAATAAAACCCATCAAATACTGACAATTTCTTTGTTCAAAACACAGACATTTTATTTTAATGCAATTTAAGGTTTTGGTATTTTCTTTTAAAACACATTAGGGACAGAAATGAGGCTTCTTGTGTTGCCTGAGGCAGAGCTTGATTTCTCTTCTTTGAAGGACTTTTGCAAAATACAGATGCCATTCACTGGCCTCAATGTTTACCACCATCACCACTCCTCTACCCCCCTCACACACACAACTGTAAACACAACATCTTGGCCCACCCTGGGTACAGCTGGCAGGGGCTACAGAGTATCCAGGATGTGGCTGATGTTAGTGACCAGCTCCTGTCACTTATCTGAGATGAGCTTCACTTTCTTGAGCTTGCCAGCCATCAGCTACTTACCTTCATCACTGACTTTAGCACCTACTCCTTAACCTGGGTATCCAGTTTCTGCATTTCTTTTACTTGGATGCACAGGTCAGAGCACTGTCTTAGACCTGGACTGCAGCAGAGCAATCTCATTGGTCAAGGCCTTGTATTCCATCTCCAGACGCTTCTTGCCACTATTGAGGGACCATCAATGTAATGGCAGAGACCTATTCTCTTAGTTATCATCGTTAAGACCTGCTCTGTGATGTAGGCCACATCCATCCTGGCTTCTGTGGTCGGGTCCCTTGTGATGTGGCTCATGACTGTGAAGAACAAGAGGTAGAAATGGCCACCACCAGCAGGGGCTCCTGCAGCATGAGCACTTTGTTGAATGTGTGGTGTACTAGGATGTCCCGGATGTTCTGTTTTACCAGATTTTCCTTATAGGCAATCACAGGGCTGCCAAATGTATCCAAGTAGGTGTAGCACAGCTCATTTCTTAAGGACTGTCAACTTGGATATTCTTGTCCCTTTCGGCATAACCTCCAGTGTCAGAAAATCTATTGCTTGCTCATAAAATAGCTGGTCCACAAACCTCATCTTCAATGTAATTCTCCAAATCAGTTTGAGAAGTTGTAGTCATCAATGCAATGGGTCTTTCACCCACCAAAAAGAGGGAAGCAAGGAGTCATCCACAATAAGGAAATGGCTAACGAAAACACTGCCAATCTCATCCTGGTAATAACATTCTGGGCATCAGCTAGGAGGATGGTCTTAAAGGAACGAAGGGAGGATAAACACTCTCTGGCTGTCTCTGGTCATCATAGTGTGGAAAAGGCTCCTGAAGTACAGCCCCAGTGTGCTTCAAGTCCACACTTGCTTCCGTAGCAATATTATCCCAGTGAGAAACCTTAATGACTTGCATCAGGCTGATGATAATAAGGAAAGGGCCGTTTTTCTCATAATGTACTTGAATGGCATCCTGACTATAGGCAGGGATATCTCTAAAAGGCCCATAATCCTGGTTTTCAAATTATGTGGAGTCCCCCAACTTGATGTAGCTCTTAAGATTTTGGGAGGCAAACTTCACATGCATTGTTTGTGTCTTTGTTGAATAGGGAGTGTAGAAATAATGGTTGGCCTCAAACAGCACAAACTGTTTCTCTGATTAAGTGATCTGGGTTGAATATGGCTGAAGCACAGAGGTATAAACTGTTTCCACAATGACTGAAATCTTGGTCTCAGGATCAAATGTACTGGGAGCTTCACCATAAAGAATCTCCACTTTTACCCTTAACTTTGGTTTCTTGTACTTCCAAGGTTGTTCTCTTCCTCATCATTTCCCCTCACAAATAGTACAGCTCATCTGGGACACAGCTGATTTCTTAAGGACTGTCAACTTGGATATTCTTGTCCCTTTGGGCATAGACAGAGGTGCACCAGCTGTGTTTTGAACTCTGGCTCCGAGGCCAGCAAAAAGGAGGAAGCGTGAGATGTGAATCCATCACTTGGGTGCAACAGGAACACCTTGGCAGTCTCCTTGTTCAGGTGTCTGCTAAGGTCCATTGTGCATTTCATGTCCTTGCGGGACTCTGGAATCTAAGAAGTAGGAGCAGAAGCAGGCAATGGCAGGAACCTTTATAATTACGTGAAAAAATTTTTTTTTAATTTTTTATTCCCAGACCTTTTATTTCAAGCTGAGTAACACATAAATCTTTAATGGTCTTTACAGTTTTTCTTTTTCTTTTTTTTGAGGGGGAGGGGCGGCCCACAAATTTTTAAAAATTTATTTTTATTTATTTCAGAAAGGAAGAGAGAGAGAGAGAGAGAGAGAGAGAGAGGGAGAGAGGGAGGGAGAGAGAAACATCAATGATGAGAATCATTGATTAGCTGCCTCCTGCACACCCCACACTAGGGATCAAACCTGCAACTTGCGCATGTGCCTTGACCAGGAATTGAACCATGAACTCCTGGTTCATAGGATGGCATTCGACCATGAGTCATGCTGGCCAGACTATTGATTTTACTTTTTTAAGAAGCTACTGTTTTTTAAACATCTACCATATGCAAGACACATTAAATGCTTTACATACATTATCACATTTAAGTCTTACAATAATCTATGATGTAGGTACTATTATTCCTATTTTTCAGATGGGAACACTTCAGCTCAGAGAAGTTATTACCCTAAGGTCACACAGCTAGTTAAGTGCAGTGTCAGGAACAGTCAAATACAGATTTCATTTCAAAGCCTCTGTTCTTTCCCCTATGGTTACAAACCTCTCAAACTTTTAAGACCAAGTTTGAATGGAATCTTACATACATAATGCACCCATGGAAAAACACTAAAATACTTCTTTATACAGTAGAAATAGCACATTATTTTACTTTACTTTTCTACTAAATTACTATTAATTCTCTTACCCAGAATATTAGGGATTAATAGAGCCTTTCCATGATTAGACGCTAAATGCTATGGTTAAAAATCGAACAGGGAGAGAGGGATATAGAGAATCCAGGGCAGGGGTATGAGCTAGGAGCTGAATTTTTACATTTAAATTTAGAATTTAAATTTTTAAATTTGGTGGTTATTTTTCCCTATGTCCCTCCCTAAAAATATTTTCACATTTAAAACCTAAATATATCTGTTTTTCTAAGTACCACATTATATTGAGGGGTATATCAGAACAAATTTCTATAAAGGGGGACAGGTAGATAACTTCAAAAATTATAATTTTAATGAACGAATAACCACTGTTTCACTCTTAAAAAACTGCCTCATATAACTTTCATAAGCTCATACGTAGGTAGAGATAGACCCTAATTTTTATTAGTGATGTGATTAATTCTCTTATAAAATTTAATATTTACCACAATGGTCACCAACAAAACAGCATTAAAATTTTGAAAAAATAAAACATTTTTCACATCCTATCTTGATTAATTTACTGAATTCAGGATGGGCAGAAAAACAGCTCTTCAAAATATGGTATAAACTGATGTCCACTTACATTCTACGATAATAGTAGCTGAGAAATACTTATGTTGTTTTTATTTCTTTTCCTTTAAAAACTTTTGCTGCAATGGTCAGATACAGTGAGGCAAGCTAGGTGGTCTTAGGGAACATGAAGTTCTCTGAAGACTTGAAGGCTGTTTAGGTTCATAGCTAAGCAGGCTTGTCAATGGACTACTGCCATACCTAGACTACCTCAGTGACAGACACAGTCTTCCAAGAAATTTCAAATGCTTTCATATTATTTATACTACGACTCTCCGGGCATTTTACCATGTCTTTTTACATTAGGACTGTCAGAAATGTACATGAGGAAGAGCAAAAAGGAATACCTCCGTGGTGGTGTGACAGACTCCCTCCATTAGCGAGGATTTCTTCTCTAGCAGCTGCCTATATTTGGAAACAATACAACAAAGAGGTTTCACTTTGAAGTGAGAGGAAGATCCAACTCCCAAAGGAAGCACATATTTTCTGGGTCAAATGATAAATCAGAAGCCTCCTTATCCTTTCTTCATTTTTTAAAAACAATTAAAATATATAGCCTAGCTTTATAGTTTTTCCAGTAAATAATCAAAATATCTGCAATAGTTACTTCCAGATTCTAGAAAAGAAAAAGAAGGCAAAACCATCAATTTTGCAGCACTAAGTTGTTAATAATGAAAAAAAGCTTTGTAAAGACAAAACCAGGTTCTACTCTGAAGATAACATCTCACTCTTCCAATAAATAAGAATAACTAACATTTCTTGACTGCTTATTGTATGTCCAGAAAAGCACTAAGTTATTTACCTACAATAACTCATTTATTTTTTACCGTAGTCTTATGGAATAATTATAATTACTCATATTTCACAGATAAAGAAAATGAGGCTCAGATAGTTAAATTACTGACCTAATAGCATACATTGGGCATCAGACTCAAGATTACTTACAAAGTTATCAGGAATCAACCATTGGGACAAATTACTTGTCTTCCCTAAGGCTATTTAAGTGAGAAAATAAAACAAAACCTTGTTTTATCCTCTTAACATACTAGGCCCTGACTAGGCTTCTTATAAAGCACAATGGTGAGAAAGATAAGGCTTAAACCACAATAAAGAATCACTGAAGTACAGGGTGAAAAAGGGTAACAGAAACTTAAATTACATTCAATTCATGAGTATGAAATAGCAATGAAGTGAAATATCTACATGGCCTTGAACCTCTCAGAATTACTCAGGTTGTACAAATCATCAGGAAGGTAGGCCAGGGTAAAAAAGGGTTCATGTGGGACAGATAGACAATATCTCTCTGCAAAGTAATTTATAAGAACCCTCATCACTTAGCATTTTTCACAAGAAACATAAATATGGTAGCCCCACTCTAAGAGATTATATCTTCTAACAAATTATTTTAAATAAAACAATAACTACTTGGAATTAGTAACACTTAAAGAATGGCAATTTGGACTGTGAAGGAAGGAATAATTTCACTCTTTAGTACTACAGGAAAGGAGCATTGGGCAGCCAAATGGCAATACAAAAACATTGAAAGCTTAAAATGATGGAAAAGAACTTGAACTTTTGAGGGTGATGGGTATGTTCACTATTTTTATTGGGATGACGATTTCACTGTGCACACAGATATCAAAATTAATCCAACTGTATTTGATTTACTTTATTGCAATTTTACTTAAAAAATTTTGGGGTTGGGCAGGAGGCATAGGCAGGAACCAACCAAACCCTATCTGTGGTTTGGGTCTAAAAGTATCCACGGAAAATCACCTTGTAGTTTTATCTTTGGTAGGCACATAATAGAGTTAGAACGCTAGGACACCTGAGGTTAACCTCAATGCCTTCCCAGTTCCTTTATATTCTAGTCTGTTTCTTAAACTCTAGGCATACTTGTAACAAGAAATATTTATCACCAAACAGAAGGTTTTATAAAAATTAGAGGCTTAACGCTATTGTAGTAAAACTGCTAACGAATGAACATCAATGTCCTACATACAGCTTTAGCAAACAAATAAAGTAGGTATAAAGCTAGAATAAGGATATTACAGCAACACAGACACTCTAACCAGAAGGTTAGCTTGCTGCTGATCTCAATAGCCACCATCTGCAGATGAGTGGGCTGCCAAGTGATAACAAGGACTCCCCTAGTCCTTCGTTATTTAATTTCATCTGGTATTATGTACTATAAGTAACAACAACAACAAATCACAAGCTACAGAATATTAATTTTAGAACATTGTAATATATGTAATAGATTAATTTTAGACTCAATATACAACTCAGTGCAACAAATATGCTTCTCATTTCTATGGGATATCAAACCAGGTAAGCCACAAGTGATTAAAGAGCCTAATTAAAATTAATTAATTGATGGCAAAATTACCAAAATTAATAAAAGAATGTTAGAGCTATATTCATGTATGCAAAATTACCTCGGTTTGGTCAAAAACAGTCAGTGGATCACTTATTCCCCTGTAGTTAAAGGCAAAGTAGAAATAGATACATGCACCTGCATCATAAGTCTGCGTCACCCTAAAAATCAAACAGAATCACAAGGCTGTAATTGAGTGAAATCAGATTTAATCCTGGAAACTTAAAGGCAAGATTATCTGAATGATTTGCTGAAGCCATAATCTCATTTTCTACCCAGACTCTTACTCCATGGAGAAATTTACGATAGACTGGCTGGACAAAGGATATACAGAAACTATTTGTACTATTTTTATAACTTTTTGGGTAAATATGGATTATTATCTCTCCAAAACTTAAAAATTTTAAAGCAATGTAAATGTTTCTCCAATTAGCCTGAAATAAATAAAAACCACACCTCCTTAGAAGTGATTAAAAAAACCCCAGTATATTATAACTAAAAACAGCCCAAAACAAACTAGCTAGAACTTAGTGATCCACTATAAGTCTTCTAAACTTCCTTAAAATTAACAGAAATAAGTATGAGACCTTAAAACCATGCAATAAGAGAAATATGCAAATACCAAAAATAATCAGACTAGATAAAAAATACATCTTCACTAAGTTCATGTTAATTTGTAAGGATTTCAAAAACAAACTGAATCATACAAATTGTACACACACACACACACACACTCTGTATAATAAGAGTGTAATATGCTAGTGTTTGACCATTTGGTCAATTGCTCAACCAGTTGCTATGACACACACTGACCACCAGGGGGCAGACACTCTAACCAGTAGGTTAGCTTGCTGCTAGAGTCTGGCCGATCAGGACTGGGCAAGAGGACTGGACATGCCCTGGAGCCCTCCTGTCATCCTTCCCTGTCTGGCTGGCCCCCATCAGGATTGGGTGAGACAGCCCAATTGGCCGATCACCGGCCAGACCAAGGTACCCCACCTGTGCATGAATTTGTGCATTGGGCCTCTAGCAAATATATATACATACACACGTATATCTCGGCTTTCCAAATGCAATTAGGTGAAGCAATTAAAAGGGAGCTAAGAGAATCATAGTCAAATCTCTGAATATAATTCAGAGTTCCCACAAATAATTTAACAGAAGGAGGGAATACTCTTCTTACTACACAATTCAAATAGAATCTAATCTAAAATTTTAATGGCCTTTTAGGACAAATGTTAGGTGCCTCAGAACAGAATAAATGAACTGTTTAACAATAATACTGTCAATTTGCCAGCTGTGTTTCTCTTCTAGTGTTAATTCACTCTCATAAAAAAGATCCCTTGAATATTTTCATTTTAAGTAATAGATTTACAAAGTTTTAAGAAAATCTAGAGAACCATTTTAACTACAATGGCATTATCATTTCAGATAATCAAATTTAAATAAACTTCAAGGATACGGGAATGAAACTAGTTTACAGCAAAGTAAAATATACATCATTTGTGAGAAAAATTAACATCAATAAGGAGAAAATGTAACTAAAAATTAACAGAGTATTGCCACCTTCCAACAAATACAGGATCAATATTACACAGTTGAGTTTTCAATGGATAAGAGGCTTCTGCAGTCACAAAAGGGCTGAATTGATCAATATGTCAAAGAAAAACAAAATGGAAATAATGGAGCATCTTTTGGAAAACCTCAGTTTGGGTCCATCTCAGATAGTGACTCAGATCTAACACCTTTCAATAGATCAGTTCTATCACTTAAAGACAACTTAAACACTAACTACTTCCAAAATCATTTTGACAAGTGATAGTGTGGCTGCCAGTCATTCTACTATTCTTTAATTTCTAAAAGTGTATGTGTTCTACACTTTTTGGAGTATTTTACCTGAGCTAGATTCCCCGGCTAGGAATTCCTTTCCATAAAACTTCTTCAGAAAACTTAGGGCTGGAATTTCTTTTCCAGTAGACAAAGTACATTTTAACAGAGAGAAATAAAATGAACTCAATAAGTGCACCGTACAGTTAAACTATTTTCCGTGGGATCTTTAATTTTAGTATCTATAATTATTTAAAATTATTTTTTCTTTTTAAATCTTTGTTGTTATTAAAGTAATTCGTGAATGCTAGGCTTTTTAAAAAAACTAGTTTAAAATATATACCTCATACATTTACATTCAACACAGAATAATCTCTTAGTCCACTATTAAGCATTTCATATCAAACTAAACTAAAAGCAAATTCTTATTAAATGCTAGTTTAATCAAGTATGAACTAGAAAAATTATTTAAAACTCCTATTTACCAAAACCATTCAAATAACTAGACTTGTCACATTCTAAACTTTGATTTTATAAGATAATTACAGACGTTGAGCATTTAAGCTTTTCAGAAGGTTACTTCTATAAAATCAGCTACTTAATGACATATGGCCAATTCAGTCTAGTATATCAATTCTATCTACCTACAATACATAATGAATATCCTTAGGTCTTGTGAGTACCTTTTGAAGAACCAAGACTTAGGTGTTGTTATAGATAGGCTAAGGCAGAATATTTTACTTCCCAATCACTTTCAATAAGCAGTGATTTATTACAATGGTATTTTCATAATGAAAAGGGAGAAGTCTCTAGAGATATTGAATAGGGAGGTGGAACAGAAAGAGAAACAAGAGATAAAATCTGTTAAATTGCTACTGGACAAAACAAAAGAATAAAAATTCCTTATCTATATAATAATAAATTCTATAATTTTAATTGTTTCAAATTTTACTAGTAACAAATGACTTCTGGTCTATTTTTAGTATTATAATAACAGGCCTAAGAGAGTAAACTGTAAAGAGAAGAATTAAGTACAGCAGGTGCTTATACAACATTTCATGCAATGTTGCTATGACGTTAACTAGAGGCCCAGTGCACAAAATTCCTGCACGGGTAGGGTCCCTAGGCATGGCTAGACATCAGGACTGATCTGTGGAATGACCAGCAGGGCAATCGGAGGGCACCCACTGGCACCCACTATGGCTGGTCTGCCACTGCCTGCTGGCCAGCCCAGCTGCCCGCCCCCACCCCTGATCACCTCCCTCTGCGGGGTGACCAGTGGGGGAATTGGGGGGCCCCTGCCTTGACTGGCCTGGCACCACCCACTCACAGGCTCCACCTCCTGCTGCCAGTCAGGGCCTGCAAGCAGCTCTTGCATTGAGTATCTGCCCCTGGTGGTCACAGTGACTGGTCGTTCCGCCATTCGGTCAATTTGAGTATTAGGCTTTTATTATATAGGATGAGATGCCTGATAAGATATAGTAGGAACTTAACTCTTGTATCTACCAATTAGCCTAAGGTAAAATTAGTTTCATTATACATTGTTTTGCTTAGTCACAGAACCTGTTTCATTCATGAGGATTTATTGATAATATAAATAACGACAAACTTATTTTTCTTAGACTTTAAAAGTTTTGTCTTTAAATATGACTCCAATTTTTTTTAAAAAAAGTATATTCTTACACCTTTATTTGGGAAGATTCTCTCCAAGATTAGTCACTATGCCATCAGTAGTTTTACTATAAGCCTTGTACATAACAAGGCCCTCTCTCTTCCCTTTCTTCAGATATACCAAATGCCCAGCCAATAAACTCTAAATATACATTTTTTTTGGTTTCACTTCTTTGACTCTACCCCAAATACAGACGTTCTACATGTTAATACACAGAACTGACTGGGTGCTTCCTGAAATGCCCTTCATAGCCTCTATCTCATCAGGAGCAGAAAAGACTATTTTAAAGAGATCCTGACTTACATGAACAGTTAATGTGAGAAAGGTGCTTTCTTCACATGCCTTGCTAGGATTTTACTTTCTTATCAAGCAGATGCACAATTTATCAAATTCTAAGACATCTGTTTCAATGAGAGCAATAGCAGAACCAAGAAACACAATATGGTAGTAGGGAAGTACAAGATGAGAGGATGTAAAGAGAAAAGAAAAAAAATCACAGAAGAGATAGGAGTTTAAAGAGTACAGAAGCATTTCTAGTCTTGCAAAGCAAATATATGCAAATTATTATGCTATGTCAAAATATTAAGGCATTAACAACTGGATGCCTTCATGAGGACTTGTCTTTGGGAAGTTAAACAAAATATCCAAAATTCCCTTTATTCTCGTTCCAAGAACATTTTATAGAATTCAAATGCTCAGTTCAATCCAAATATATTTAATCATCTGGTGTTTACATAGAAAACTACTATCAAAAGATTTAATACAAAATATTCCTTCTCAAGAAAACTCCCATGGGGGCTGATGCTATTTAACAAAGAGAACAAGATCTTCAGTTAAACATGACCCACTATGGGGCAAGTGAAGTTTAGGAAAGCTTGCTAAATAGAATAGACTGAAGCTTCTCTTCAGCTAGCCAATTATTTCCTATTAATTAAAAAATAGTTTTTTTCAGACTATGAAGTACTATAAGAATAAAAAAAACTCACCTGCATGTAGAAAGAGGAGCAAACTGAACACCCTTCTCTTTGCATTCCCTTATTATTCTTTCTTTCACATTTCTACAGAGATCTACAACTCTAGAAAACATAATTGAATACCATATTAAGTTTTCAAAAAAGTTACCAAAAAAAATCTAATAAATGCTGCTTTATCTGTCATCCTACATGTCAGAAATTCTCTTAACTAAAGCTTTCACACTTATTCCTTAAAAAATGAAGAAGAGCCTTTATCATTCAAACTGAGTCTTCCATTAATAACATTAAAGGGAGCAAACTCCTTTCTTTTTAGCCACAGGAAAGACAACAGTGTACTCCAGACTCCAGAAGATTGTTTCCTACACTTAGGAAAACCCAATTTCAAAATAAATCTAATTGCAATATTTTAAAAGCTTTGAAGCTATAAACATGCTAATTAAAATTCAATTCTAGATTATAGAAGTACTAATCATATCTATGTCTACAAAGTTTTTCTTAATTTAATATAATTTAATAATTGTGATATTATACCCACATGTACAAGAGCCTATTTTAAAGCACTGAGCTAACATCCAGTTCAACAAAACTGACTGGACATGTAAGCCTGTGTAAAGCTAGGCTAGACTGTTTGATATTAAATCAATAAAAACAGGCGAGGGGAAAATGATAATATTTAACAATATTAATTTATGTTTTAATGTGAGTTATAACATATTTCTAACTGCATACTTTGTTTCATATGGAAAAATAAAACTCTTAAAGTATATAAAAACCACTTTATCCTCCAATAAATATCCCAGCTATGTACTGATATTAATTCTGTATTTTAAACTCTGGTCTCCTTAGAATCATGAAAATAGAAAAGATACCAAAGAAACTCCAAAGACTGACCTATCTTTAGCCTCAAGGCTGATTTAACTGTGTGAAAGCAAATGTGATAAAAATAACAACATTAGATTATGCTTTATAAAACATTAAAGTCATCTACATTTCCAATAAGAATAAAAGATATCCTATCAATAAAAGATCAATATGCAAACTGACCATCACTCCAACACACAAGATGGCTGCACCCATGTGGACAAAAGATGGCCACCACAAGATGGAAGGCAGTTGTGGGCAGTTAGGGGTAACCAGGCCAGCAAGGGAGGGCAGTTGGGTCGGGGGGACTCAGGCCTATAGGGGAGGGCAGTTGTGGACAATCAGGCAAGCAGAGAGGGCAGTTAGGGGTGACCGGGCCGGCAAAGGAGGGCAGTTGGCGGGGGGGGGGGGGGGGGGGGGAGACCAGGACTGCAGGGGAGGGCATTTGGGGGAAGCCAAGCCTGCAGGGGAGAAAAGTTGGGGGGGACAAGGCCTACAGAGGAGGGCAGTTGGGGGGGTGGGGCCAGAACTGCAGTGGAGGACAGTTGGGGGGGAACCCAGGCCTACAGGGAGGGCAGTTCCGGGGGGCAAAGCCTGCAAGGGAGGGCAGTTGTGGGCGATCACGCCAACAGGGAGAGCAGTTAGGGGTGACTGGGTTGGCAGAGGAGGGCAGTTGGGAAAGACCAGGTCTGCAGGGGAGGGCAGTTGTGGCCGATCAGGCCAGCAGGGAGGCAGTTAGGGGTGACGGAGCCAACAGAGGAGGGCAGCTGAGAGAGACCAGGCCAGCAGCAGAGAGCAGTTAGGGGTGATCGGGCCAGCAGGGGAAGGCAGTGGGGGGGACCAGGCCTGCAGGGGAAGGCAGTTAGGGACAATCGGGCCAGCCAGAGAGCAGTTAGACGTAGATCAGGCTAGCAGTGGAGTGATTAGGGGTGATCAGGCTGGCAGGCAGAAGCAGTTAGGGGCAACCAGATAGAGGCAGGCAAGAGGTTGGGAGCCAGCAGTTCTGGATTGTGAGAGGGATGTCCAGCCGCCCATTTAGGCCTTATCCCTCCAGGTGGTTGGACATCCCTCTAGGGGTCCCAGATTGGAGAGGGTGCAGGCTGGGCTGAGGGACACTCCCTGCCCCCATCACAAATTTCGTGCATCAGGCCTCTAGTATGAATATAAACATGAGAAGGATTTTAATATTTTATTAGCATGTCATATTTTATGTTTATAAATTACAGTACTTGAAAATTTTATAAATTCTAATTTTTCAAAACAGTGCTCGTTAAGTTATAATAAATTCTGCTTTATTCTATGGAAGCTGCAGGCAAACACAATTTATCAATATTATCTATGTTTCATTTATGGTATGGTAAAAAATGCATGTTTTTATTGTGTGGTTTTTAATCCTCATATGAGGATATGTTTTACTGATTTCTTAGAGAAGGGGAAACCTTCTAACCACTGAACCAACTGACTAAGGCCGCTCCCTTGGTTTTCATCAGTCTCATGCTGGTGTATTCAAAATCTTTAAATTTCTACTTGGACCTCTTAGATATTTTTTTAGGCTGCATTCTTACACTATTTCAGAACACCTCCATAGAACTCTATGCAGAAAATACTCTGCACACCTACAGGTGCAGTTGTGCTAGGGCCACTGAGAAGTATACAAAAACTAGTAGAACCAATAATACCTTAAGATATTTGTGCATGAAAAGGCCAAGTGATTTACTAATGAGTGAGGGTTGAAGACTGTGATCCTATGGGTTGCCGCTAAATATGATCTCTATCCAGCTAAAGGTTTGAAAGAAAAAACATTGCTAAATGGTTAATAAATTTCATGTCAGTGAAGTAGCTGCTTTCTGTTAATTTTATTTCTTAAAACTTCAGCTGAAGTTGTTTTAAATGAAAACAAATCAAATATGTAGTCTTCTGTATAAAAGATATTGCCAGGAAGTCACTTAAGTAAAGATGTAAATATATAAAGAAAGGGTAAAGAAAAATAAAAGATAGTGCATGATTAGCTTCCACAGTTGGAAAAACAAAGTCAAAATGACAACCACCAGTTAGTAATGATTTTGTAACAAAACAATACATACTACCAAAGAAGTAACACTATACTAACCCACTTTCACCCTGCAAGGAAAGGTATTAAACACTAAAATGGTATTTGAGACAACTATGAACAGCTGTCAAACTATATATGTTGTTCAAAAGTGTCAGATGTAAATGAGTTAGTTGATTATTTTTTATTGACAAGATTTATTCCCCTTTAAATTAAATTTAGAATAAAAAGCTGTAGCAGATCCATACTATAAAATTTGGTTATCTTAAAAAGTATAGAATATGAGCATCAATGCACCCAAAATCAATCATAACCCATCACAGATGAACACTGAATACAGAAAAGTAAAGACGTTTTCTGGGGGAGGAAAAAAAGAACATCAGCTTAGCACAAAATGTTAATATATGTAATATCCAAAAGATAAATTCATGGGGGTTTATTGACTTAAAATAAGTTGTTAATTTTATAAATAAAAAGTAAAATATAAGATAAAATGTACTAATAATCTCCTTATCAATTTTTATGAGTTAACTCACAAGTCTATTTTTATAAAAATTTATTTTAGAGAGGGAGAAAGAGAAAGAGAGAAAGATCAATATGAGAGCACTGTATCTCTCGGTTGCTTCTCATACGCCCCAACCAGGGATCAAACCCGAAACTTGGGTACATGCCCTAACCAGGAATTGTATCTGTGACCTTCGATGCTCAAACCCAACGGAGCCAGACCGGCCAGCGAACACAGTCCACTTTTTAAGAAAACCACCTCACATTTCCTAACCAGTTCTTATAATTAATTTCCTAACTAATATCTGTATGTGTATGCAATTTAAAAATAGTACATAATTTTAAAATTAGATATCTTTTAGAAATCAATTAAATGCAAGTTAAGATCTTGCTTAACAGAATGCATACAAATACAAAAACTAAATAATATATCACAAAATATTAACTGTTTTATAATCTGGGGGGCACTTTTTAGAGAACATTTAGGCATATTAATCACTTAAGAATTTAAATCAAAGTTATATAAAACCATATAGTGACATTCAGTGTTCAATATGATTCTTCAAAATATAAAGTTCAATAATAACTTCCTACTATGGCACATGAACAAATTTGCTGCAAAAAAAAAGGGCGGGGGCTACCAAATATAATAGTGGAGTGGAGATATTAATTTAAATAAAGGTGATTATGATGTTTCAATGGTTCTTTATAAAATTTTAAGTTGACATGTTCACACACAAAGACACATTACTTGAACAACTTGTAGCATATTTTAATAACAGGCATTTTATTCCATTTTACCTGTCCCAAGGAGCAGAAGTCTCAAAAGATTCTCCTACTACATAGTATTCCAAACCCAAGTCCTGTTAAGACACATACACAAAAATCAAGAAAGTTCAACAGATGCAGAAGAATCAATAATATTGTTTGTATTTCATATTCATTGTTAGTACTTTGTGCAACTGTTGGTGTTACATGTTTCCACCTTAATTTCCATGACTCTTTACAATCCACCTCATTAAGAGCTCTGCAAAGTGGTCTCAAGAGACATGAACTGCAGGAGGACAGGAACTTTGTCTGTCTTGTTCTCCTCTGTACCTTTGGCACCAGGCAGAGTGCCTGACACATGGTAGAAATTCAAACATTTCTGCAATGAATGGAGTGTCTATTCAGGAACTGTCTATATACATTAGAGAATACTAGTAGAATAGATTTTTAGTGGCCTAATTAGCAAATTAACCAATACCAAAATGTGGCCATCAAGATAGAAGGAGCAGAAAGTAGGAAAGTGGGGTGGAGGCAGAGGAGACTAGAGGAAGGAGAAGTCATTTCCCTTTCTTAAAAACAGCTTTTCTTTAAAAACAAATTAGAAAATATAGTGTCTCTCTCTGCAGTAACTAAATAGAACATTTGGAAACAACACTGCTAGAGACATATATATTTTATACCATAGAAAATATAATGTTTATATAAGTAACTTATAATACTAATCCCTGTAATTTCCAAACTGAAAAGAGCAATTCATAAGCTACCACAGAAATATAAAGATATGAAAGAAAATTTTATAAGGTAGAAAAATCAATATGTGTTAAGTTTTTACTTCTAGAAAAATGAACCACTTAAACTCTACCACTGATTGCCAGGAAAAAATCCTAAAATTACTCATCTAAAATGTGTGTTTTTCTCTTATGTATTCACTTATTCAGTAAACATATATTTGGTGACAACAGTATTAAGTACTGAGAAAACAGAAAAATATGATAAAACAAATCTCCATCCCTACCCACTAAATCTCTAACTTGTTTTTGATTAAGTTTTAACATTCACTTAATAATGAAGTAATCTTAATAATTAAGAAACTTACTTAAAATTGTATCTATATTGTACTTGTTAGTTACATTTCATTTTCTAGAATTATGAGAAAATGGTCAATATGCTCAGAGAAAATGCCTAACAAAATTTATGTATATCCATAATGCTTATTATAAGAAATAAAGTAGTGACAATTTATAGAGGTAAAAATTATTTATAAGACCTACCATCATCCATTGCCTTTCATAATCTGTAAATCTGTTAATCACAACTTCTAACACAGCAGTTTTCCTTTTTGGCATGGCGAGGGGGAGGGAGCTACGGGAAGACCTTATCAAATCATCGTAAACTAAAATTTAGATCTTACCTAGAGTTACATTAAAATTCTTACTATGGGAGAATATAGGGTAGATTTGGAGCTAATCCTTTGTTCCTGTAAGACAATATGCTCAATTACAGTTGGTTAAATTTAAGAAAAAAATTTTATTCACTCAAAGTAAAAAGTATTGTCTGCAACAGAAATTGACAAGGGAATTATGTGATAACTTACTCGAATATATGCAATGACAAAGGTCAGCAAATAACCTCTCTGTCCATTATCTTCTCCAGCTGCCAATCCACTGTAATTAAAAAACTGTTAATAAATTTCAAATGAACTATTAAAAATATATAAAACTAACCAAATTGATATGACACCTTAAGATAAATGCTTAACAGATTAACAAATATTACTTTCTATCTCATTTTTACTTTACTCATTTATCATAAATATCTCAAAGAGCCATCAATAGACTAAGCTTGAATAATAAAAATCTGAAAGCACTTTTAATATTTCAGTTTGGTCATTAACTTCAAACTTTTATCCAATCACATTAGCAAAACTGACTCATGAACTCAACTATTTCTATCCATATTGTCAAAAGAAAATTAGACATGAGAATCAAACTTAAATAATCATCATAATCAAAACAAGATACTTAAAATACTAATTAAAATAAATATATACTAATTAAAATACTAAATAATTATTTTATTATTATATTCGGACTCATATATTCATGTATGTTATAGTCTTATTCATATATAAAGATGAGCAATGACTGGCTTTGTATTTGGACTGATCTTCCAAACACAAAGATGATTCTTGAATGCTTGAGCATATAGTATTTGGAGTATTAGACATGGTGTCTATTTTATGGAACTTATGAGTTAAATGATAGAAAATATAGAGAGAAATATTTAAAGTTTTTGAAGCAACATACAGATAAAGTATAAGTTCAACACGTAAGGTTTCATTACTATGAACACATGAACTTCCCATTTTAATTAGTTTTAGCTATAGGAATTGCATTTGGTGATCCAGTTAAAATTAATCCATAATAGTCTAAGTGTTCTGCTTTGCGAAAGTTATTCTTATTTTAAAAGACTATGAATAATTTCCACTACCTTTAGTAAACACTTCTTTATTTTTGCTTCTTTCCATCACCAGGCAGAAATTAAATTTTAACTATTCTTAGTCAACTAAATAAAACTTACTCCAAACTCTCAAGAGTATAAAAATTCCCCCAATAAAACAAGATTTAAAAAATTATTTTTCCTTGTGAATTTTTGGGGTCATGATTAATAATTAACTGTTATGTTTCCCTTTTTAATACCCTAATTGGACCTCCTTGTTCTTAGGTATGGGTCTTGGGATTCTGTGACTTAAGCCTTTTCTAGAAGAATCATTTCTCTTCATGGAGTCAATGAACACCTTATAGTTAAATCCTTTATCCCCTGAATTTTGTTTGGATTTGGTGCTAACTAAATAACACAATGTAGATGTACCCTTGTTCTATACAAATAATGTAAGGCATTTTTAGGCTAGGATTCAGTGGCTAAATCAGATTTCCTGATTTAGGAGTATAGCTGGATATATTTGAATTAGTGTCATGTAGAAGAGTAGCAAAGATTGATAGGGCAGCTATAGTCTAGAACTGCTTAAGAATGAAGTATGATGAAGTGAAGAAGGCTGTCTGTATTGCTAGAATGTTAATGAATGAGGAAGCCAAACTTATACTAGACAGCTAAGAGTAAAATGTAAGAAAAGGATGGAAATTCTGGGTTGGATGTCTACGATGTGAGGTTGAGGTAAGTAGTAAAACAAAGCTCCAAAACAAAAAAGAAACCAGTCAGAAAATTGCTGTGCCTGGATAAAAATAGCTGAGTCCATACCTCAAGTAGATATGAAACAGAGTCAGATACTGAGTCCAAGAAAGAAAAAAACAACACTGACCTAGAAAACAGTTCATCCTGGTGGAAGGGGGGAAAAAGGAAAATAATGTGGAGATCAGAAAAGGATGCCGAAGACCTGCACTGGAAATCTGAGAAGGCACATGCTAAGTCTGTATTTGGTGAGAAGAAACACTTAGTAGGACTGTCTCTCTCTTACATTAGGATGAGAAAGTCCTATTTGTAGTCCCAGGTCAAGCCATTTTTCTTTAGACTCGTTTCTAATATCTGGCGGGGTGGAGTCAGGAGCACTCGGTTCTACTTTGGAAACTTGTGTGACAAACCACACAGGAACATGTATTTTTCTTATCTAAAGCAGGAAGAAATCAGATGTTCATTCTAAATTCAGTAATAGTAGGGCTTAGAAATTAATCCCCAAAATCTAAGATTCTAACTGCTTTATGTTTAAGTAGCAATATCCAACCCCTGCTTCCTGCTCTCTACCAAAATTTCAAACAACAATTAACAAGGTTCTTAACAAATTTAAAGCTACTTCACGAAGAAGGACTGGGAAGACTCATGCAAGAGGAATGAGAGACAATCTTTTTACATAAAAGAGCCATCTGGTGAACCTAATCACACTCACGCTGAATTACATTAAACAACATAAGTGCACATTTTAGAAATAACAATAACATATTACCTGAAGCTCTATGGTAAAATGTCAATACATTTGTCATGATTGCTGACAGGTAATATTTATTCTGCTTAGCTCTTAGAAGTTAAAGTACAGTACTAGCCAACAGGGATAAACAACCAAAGTATTTATTCAAAATTTGGCTATTATGTACTGTTGGATTATACGTATAAAAAAGGTATGTAATAGAGTTCAAATAGGTGTGGAAGGCAAGGAGGAAAAATGTTGTCAACTGTTGGAAATAATGCATTAAAAACAATCAATTTAAAGCAAATGAGGTGGTAGGAACAGAAAATTAAAAATAACAACCAGAAAATAAAGAATAATAATTCCCTAATTCAAAATAAAATACACTAGCTATTTAATAATGAAAACTTTAGCAGAATGAAATTTAGCGGTGCTTTCCTCCATGTAATTATGTAGAAGAAAAAATGAGGAATAAGGATTGGAAAAATGGCATCTTAAATAAGAAAATTATCCCTGAACAAAGAACTAGTACTAGAGCAAACTGGGCAAAACAGGACTTCTAGAAAACCACAAAGAGATTATTTCCAAGTATCAAAAACATACAAAGAGCCCTATGTCATGTGCCTAATGACAACCTGAGCTGTTCAACACAGAAAGGATGTGGTACACTGAGAAACTAGTTAATTATAACATAACTAGAAATAACAAATAGTAATAGCAAAAAATGAGACTTTAATGAAGGTCTATTTTTAATGTTTTACCTATGATTTAAATAGATACCTCATTTTCCATAACCTATTTTTAATGGGTGAATTTGATACATGTCTTGTTTAATATAAGCAAACTGCCTAAATTACACTAATAATTCTGGGGTCTTAGTATCATATTTAAGGAGACCTGGATTCATGTTAAGGATGATTCATTCTTACTTTTGAGTTGTAAATGGCTGGTGTTAAAAGAGGAAAACAAAACTGGCATTACATGAAAAGATAGTTCATGACAGTTGGCACAAATGAAATAAATAAAACTGACAAAATGGTTCTGATAAATACCTAAAGATTAAAATGCACTAGCAATAAAAATAAATATTCACAAAGAACTCAGAATAAGTATAATGTATATGGTATATTTTCAGCCCTGGAATAAAAAAAAAAGACAGGTATCCAGAAAACTGTTAGTTTATGTACTTAAAGAGGAAAGGAAAATAAATGTAGTCCTGATGAATGGCATTTTCACTATAGTTCCCATAGATCAATCTTATAATCCATCAAGCAGACAGACAGAAACCACCCAATCATTATTCAGTTGGTTATAGATGTGAAATGTTTTCTGTTTCTTTATACCAGCACAAAATAATAAGTGACAGGTGTGGAGTATAGGTAATTTATCAAATACTTTTGATTAAACACAATTTGATTTTAAAAACATATTAACAGCATTTTTATACATATATTATTACCAATAAATAGTAACATGACTGGGGTTTTTCCTACTTCACTCTAGCACAAGAAATAGCAAATGCTATAAAATTAGCATTAATGGAAAAATATAATATTTAATAGTCATATATATGATTACACAAGAGCAACATACTAGTCTAGCTTTCTACACACTTTTAAAATAGAGTAACACAACATTTTAAGTTGATTATCATATAATACACATTTAATACTAGAAAGGGAACATTAACAACTGCTTGGAGATATCATAATTTTAGCTCAGCTTCCTCTCGACATTATGAACTGAAAGCCGTACCCAAATTTTGCAGCAATGTCATATACTTGTTTTTCATGTTGAAGAACCTTCTCACGGTCCCCCTCAAACAGTAATGTAGCAACACTTAGCTGATTTGGATCAAATCCTTTAAACTAAAAAAATAAAAATAAAATAATTATTATAGATAAATCTTATCCTACAAAACAGTAAATCAAAATACATTTGTTCCTTTTTTCTTTTGGGCCTGGACTCTAACACACCAACTCTTTAAAAACTGAACTTTGGTCATGGGGATGTAAAGTATAGCATAAGGAAAATAGTCAATAATCTATTAATATATATATAAAAACCTCATATGTAAATTGTCCCCTCTGGAGTTTGATCGTTCACAATGATGTGCGCCAACCACCAGGGGGCAGTGTGGAACAAAGGAAGGCCCCCGGCTGGCAGCCAGCAGCTGTGGAAGGGAGGCCCCAGCCCACAGCCTGAAGGCCCCAATTGGCCCTGATCCCTGGCCAGGCCTATGGACCCTACCCATGCATGAATTTCATACATCAGGCCTCTAGTATATGAATAATTATGTAAGGTGTCAAATGGGTGTGAGATTTATTGGGATACCTCATAAATGTGTGATGTTTAATCACTGGGTGTACATCTAAGACTAATAGTGTATGTCAACTGTAAATGAAAAATAAAAATTATTTAATTTATTTTAAATTGAGCTTTGGAACTTTACGTGGCAATCGAAAAGAACTAAGGCATATGTTCAGATCATCACAATAGAATAAAACTATGAAAAAACACTTCACTTCAAAGTATGTCTCAGTGTCAACTGTAATGACTTATCAATATGTAAAAACAACAAATAACTTATAAAAATTATAATAAAGAATTCATTAAAACTACCAAAATGATAGAAATTAATAAATGATATGGGGGGGGAGGGGATAAAAACCAACAGCACCCTTACATACTACAATAAGTTCTTATTAAATAATATTTTCAAAACAGCTAAGAATAACCTTAAAACATATAACTTCATTAGAAAAACATGTCTAAAAAATATGTCATATGTTCCTGAGCGCATAAATATTATAAAACCTGTCATTTCCTATCCAAATTAATAAACAAGTTTATCTTAATTCTAATGAAAATCTATATGGACTTCCTAAAATGCTGAAGAGTTTTTAAAATTTTTCTAGGATAATAAACTGGTAGGTAACAGTGATAAGAAAAGTTCCAAAAACAAGACCTATAGCAATTAAATTTATTTACTTTTTTAGAAACTAAAGCTAATTATAAAGAATTTGGTACATTTAAATGGAGTTTATTTCTTGGATAAGTATGTAAGACTAGAAGCCCGATGCATGAAGATTCGTGCTAGAATGGGCTTTCCTTTCCCTGACTACTGGCACCGCCTTTTCACTCTGGCCCAGCCCCTTTCCGCTCAGGTCCCAGAGCCGCCTCTTTCTGCTCCAGCCCCTCCTTCCCACGCTGTCAGAGCTCCTGAGAGATGGGGAATGGGTGCAGAATGCCTGCATCCGCCCATCACTTGGAGGCTGAGTATGCAAATTCACCGACACATTTGGTGGGTTAATTTGCATATCACTCCTGATTGGCTGGTGGTGTGGCAGAGGTATGGTCAATTTACATGTTTGTCTATTATTAAGTAAGATGACTTGGACATGGCAAATCAATATAAGAAGCAGGGATTAGTTAATAGTGTTTTCACAACTGGTTACCAATTAGTAGAGGAATCAGTAAAGATTAATTTAAATCTATCTCACATTATAAAAATGAAAACATTCAAATTGTAATAAAGATTTTTTTTAATTTAGGTTCCATTTAACAAAATAGCAAGAGAGAAGAAAATGGTCCTAATCATAGTTCTGAAGGAAAGAAGGCTTTTCTAAGCTTAGAAGCAATTAAATAATCACAGAAAAATATATAAAAATTTGAAACTTTTGTGTACCAAAAAAAAAAACAACAAAACACCCTTATTTGAAAAGGACTCACTGACCAGAAAAATTATTTACAACATTTATGACAAAGGCATCACATAATTCCATTACTTAAAGGACACACACCAAAGCACTAAGGGAAAAAAAATTAAGCTGCCAACACTAGAGAAATAATCATATACAACTAATTCACACAAAGATCATATCTAGAAAATACAGGAAAATAGTCTCATTGAAGTTTCAAGAAATAGTCAGGAAATTTAGAATATAAAACAAAAATCCCACTAGCAACAGCAAGGATGCAACAGAAAAATGGCACTAATTGCCAGAGGTAGTGTAAGCTGATATAAATGTTTAGAAAAGGAATTAAGCAATCAACATGTTAAAAAAAAAAATCTATACTCTTATTTCACTTCTACATATCTACTATAAAGGAAAAATTCAAACTATAAAAAGTGTTATGTGCATGAAACTATTTAATTCTGTGTTATTTTTAGGAACTTCAAATCTGAGAAAAAAAATTTAATTTCTGAAATTGAATGCATTGTGAATTTACTTTGATATTTATTTCAACATGAAAAATCACTATGAAATATACACAGCAACATGGAAAAACATACTTAGAATAGGTATCTGGGACAGGGAGAAGACAGAAAACAAAATCAATTTATATCTAAGCATTAAAATGTTAGCATTTTATAAAAATTCTTACCTTTGTAATATAAAACTTTTTTAATCCATCCAAAAACGATGTAAAAATAGAGGAAACCTGAGGTTTAAGAGCATGGCCTAAGAAGAAAAAAAGTTAGTATTTTAAATTAATAAATAACAAATTCTATGTTTTTCAGAAGATCAAGAGGTTACTTTAACTTAGTATATTAAAAGTGAATGTTTTCGCCGAAACCGGTTTGGCTCAGTGGATAGAGCATCAGGCTGCAGTCTGAAAGGTCCCAGGTTCGATTCCGGTCAAGGGCATGTACATTGGTTGCGGGCACAACCCCGGTAGGGCATGTGCGGGAGGCAGCTGGCTGATGTTTCTCTCTCATCAATGTTTCTAGCTCTCTATCCCTCTTCCTTCCTCTCTGTGGAAAATCAATGAAATATATTTAAAAAAAAAAAAAGTGAATGTTTTCATATAACCTGTATTTTTAAAATCTGCTGGTTATATATAAACTATTGATATGAAGATCTACATCTTTTATCTTCATCTCCTTTCAAAAGTCACAATTTCCTATTTACAAAACCCATTATTTTATTTTCCCCCCTTTTAAAAAAAATAATAAATAAATCTTTATTGTTCATATTACAAAAGTTCCTCATTCTTTCCCCTCCACCAGGTTCCCACCCTACCCTCTGCCCTTTCCTCACCCCCCAGTGTCCTCATCCATAGGTGCACAGTTTATGTTCAGTCTCTTACCGCACCCCCTTCTCCTTTTTCCTGAGAATTGTCAGTCCACTCCCTTTCCGTATCTCTGATTCTATTATATTCAACAGTTAATATTGTTCTTCAGGTTTTTAATTCCCTTGGCTTTTAGATTTACTTGATAGTTACGTATTTGTTGATCATAATTTTTACCTTTATTTTCTTCCTGTTCCTAAAGAATTCCCTTCAGCAATTTATATAATTCTGGTTTGGCAGTGATGAACTCCTTTAGCTTTTTTTTTATTAGTGAAGCTCTTTATCTGGCCTTCGATTCTGAGTGATTGCTTTGCTGGGTAGAGTATTTTTGGCTGTAGGTTCTTGCTATTCATAACCTTGAATATTTCTTGCCATTCCCGTCTGGCCTGCATAGTTTCTGTTGAGAAATCAGCTGACAATCATATGGGTGCTCCTTTATAGGTAACTACATGCTTTGCTCTTGCTGCTTGTAAGATTCTCTCTTTGTCTTTTGCTCTTGGAATTTTAATTATGATGTGTCTTGGTGTGATCCTCTTTGGATCCCTTTTGTTTGGGGTTCTATGGGCTTCCTGGACTTGTAAGTCTATTTCTTTCACCATGTGGGGGAAGTTTTCTGTCACTATTTCTTTCAATATGTTTTCGGTATCTTGCTCTCTGTCATCTTCTGGGACCCCCATAATTCTGATGTTGCTTCGCTTGAAGTTGTCCCAGAGGTTTCTTACATTATCTTCAACTTTCTGGATTCTCTTGTCTTCTTGCTTCTGTGGAGGAGTGTCCTCTAGCACTTTGTGTTCCAAGTCTTTGACTTGATTCTTGTAATCTTCCATTCTGTTTTTAGGACTCTGTATAATATTTTTTATTTCAGAGAATGTATTCTTTATTTCTTGTTGATCCCTTATTATTTCTTGTTGATCCCTTATTATTTCTAGTTGATCCCTTATTATTTCTAGTTGACCCCTTTTCATATCTTCATAGGTCTTGTTTATCGGCCTTTTCTATGAGACTCTGTAGTTTTGAACTCTATATCCAGTCGTTTTTTGTCCTCCATTTCTTTCGTTTGTGATCTGTTTCCTTGTCTCAGCATTTTTGCTGCTTCCCTGAGTTGGTAGGGTGGGAGGATTAGCTGTATCTATGCCAGGAGACAGCCTTATTTGACTAGACTTGGAAAACTACAAGAGCCTCTGTGCTCAGCTTGGATGGGGCAGAGTTTCAGGATGGAGCCTACAGCCTTGGCTTCCGGTTAGCCCCGCCCTATGAGGTTCCTGAATCTCAGTGTTCCTCAGTGTCCTTTGGTACTCACTGCAAGCACCTCTGAGAAAAAGGTTCCCTAGAGTTTCGCCCGCTACCAGACAGTCTAATCTCTCCCCCAACGAGCCCACGGTGCAGTTGGAAGTGGGGTTAAGGGCAGTCCGGAGCTTATGTCTCCTTCCCGCTAGGGCAATCCAGCGGCTCAATCGATAATCTGTCCTCTGCGCGAAATGTGCGCGACTCAGGGGCTCTGCCTTTCGCCGCTCCCCTGAGCTTCCGCCTTACAGCCCAGATTCCCTCTGTATGAGCCTGGGGCCTGAGGGTCTCACCCAGAACTGGAGTTCAGTGCTGTCGGAACTGGGGTTCAGCACAGTCTGGAGCTTTTATCTCCTTCCTCTAGGGAACGCCAGCCAGGTACTCAGCCTCCCCTCCTCTCTGGCTCCATCCTCTCCGCGCACAGAACGTGTCTCCGTACCTTAGGCTTTTACAGCTCCTCTGATTTTCCTTTTGGTTTTCTCTTTCCTTCTCATAGAATTTCCAGTCAGTCAACTGTCCTGTAGTTCTGGATAATGTCCACTTTATATTTTAGTTGTATTTTTTGAAATTGTTATGAGAGGCTTCAGTTAGGCGGTTACCTATGCCGCCATCTTGGTTTCTCCTAATTTGCTCTTTTCTCTCTCTCTCTTTTTTTTTTTTTAACTCAAATTACTCTATATAATTAATACTACACATAGTTAAGGTTATCTTACAATGTAAAATCACTTCATTAATTTTTATTTCATTAAGAGAATCGAATGGTGACTCGTTTTACTTTTATTTTTTAATTATGCAAAAACCATTCAGAACTATAACCAAATATTAAGTCAATACCACATTTAAGGTTGTTTCTTAATTAATTCTTAATTCATCCAGAATTCTTGGCATAAAAACTAGTAATTGCTTCCTTAATCACACCCAGAGAATTAAAATTGCCAAAGTAACATAAATGGTGTCTCAAAGTCTGTTAAATTCATCTTTGCCTACAGATTGAGTTTAATTGAGTGATAGTCTTTTTATTGATCTCATTGTTTTCAGAGTAGCTACTTCTTAACTCTCAGGACTGCTACATTTAAGAGTCTTGCATCTGGCCTTAGTGTTAGGAGACCAATTCAAAAAAATGTGGCGTACCATTTATATAAAATTTTTATAAAGAACTTTAAGCCTCTAGTAAATTTAAATTATCTCCAAATAAAAATTTTATTTTTTTAGAAAAGTCTTTAAGGTTTTGGGATTTTGTTTGTGCTTAAAGTATGGCCCCTTCCTTAAAATAAGTACACATAGCAAACTAGGTTTTTGGAAAACAAACCAAAACATTTTCTGGGGGGAAAACTTTTATTTACAGTCTATTTTTTTAAAGTGAGAATCTGAATCTGTAATACTTATTACATTTTTATTTATTTAGGAAAGTGCCTTGCATAAAAGGATACCTAACATTAAGTCTTCACCAGAGGCTAAGATTTAGTTATCATGCTACAACAGAACAAAGCAAAATACAACAAAAATGAAAGGCAGTTTGGACAGGGATCAAACTAGCAATCTTTCTGAGCTCTTGGATCACAAGTAAGAGGTTTGTTTGGGGTTTTATTTTCTTTTTATTGTAAGATGCTTACAATAAAATTTCCTTTTAATACCAGAGACACTTCTCAAACACAGCCAGTGCTTAGCAGGTAACACTTCCAGCATGTATAAAGTTAGAAATAACACAGCAAAGAACTCACTTTCTGCCACAGATAGAATTCATCCTACTTTAACAACATTGGAAACATGTAAACATAAGATGTGTGAGTGTGTATATTGTGTTCTTGAAAGAAACTAAAATTATACGTTCTTCAAACAAGTCTCTTAATCCACATAATCTTTACACAAAGTATGAGGGCCCTAAATATTACCTCTCTGATGTGAAATAATGCTTGTAGAGTAAATGTTAATCTTAACACAGTACAATTTCCATTGAAACTGATGGGAGGCAGTCATATATATTCCTGATTCCGAGTTGATGTGGTAGCTTTAAAGTATATTATTGTAACAGTGATCCTAACTTTTAAATGGGTCAAGCATTAGTACTAATTGAGCATATTATCTTTTACTTATTCTTAGATTAACATTGACTATCAAATTGATTACATTCTAAATACATTCTAGCTCTTTTATTTTATCTTTTACAGGAAACAAAGAAACTAGTTTCCTAATTTACTAACTAGACAGTTTAATTAGTGAATTTTGTTCTTATAGTGTCATTTAAATAATTTTAAAGAATTTAATAAATATCTGTATTTCAAATAAGTAATCTGCGACAGTGAAACAGATACAACTGGGTTCAAATTCAGCTCTGCCACATATGACTTATGGACTTGTACTGAAATTTTAAGCTTTTGAGTAGCTTGTAAACTAGGAAGACCATTTTGAGGAACAGTTGTGAGGACATACAGATTTGGTAGGAGAAAGGGGAAGAGACCATCTTCTAAGATTTACCTAAAAAAATCACCCTCCTTTAACTTACCTCAAGCAAAATCAAGCGGGCCATCAACCAATCCTTACCTGCACACCAGGGCAGCCAGTGTAGTCTTTCATAGTACCTCCATCACCCTTGCACCCATTCATTTTTATACTTGTCTGTCCTCATTAGACAGAGAGCTTCCTGAATGATAAGAGCTATGATGTTCATCATTCTAGTCTGCCCTCAGTAATCTTCCTGGCACATAACTGGTATTTCATAAATTTTTGTTGCATACTGAGATTTTAAAATCACCATTTCTTACTTACCAAACTGAAACTGCATGTTGTCCATGAGGCGAATAGATGCAGGAGCACATCTCTGTTTTAAAAAAGGAAAAAACATGATACAAATTTAATAAGGAAAGAAGCTAGACAGGTAATATAGGAATGTCATCTTTCTTCATAAGTCTAGGAATTGTTCCTTCTTTTCATCCCTTCTCATAATCCATAGAAAAACTATCAGATAGTATCTAGAATTCTAAGATCTTTCAAGATTATTTGTATGAAAATAGCTACAAAGCTTTGAGACATAAGATTATATGTCTAAACCATCTAAAACTACACCAGTGTCATGTCTACTTTGGCACACATTAAAAGCTGCAAGGGAAGAAAAACAAGAAAAGCAGATATTCATATTCATTTTGTTATGATAAAATACTAAAATACAAACACTAGCAAGGTTTAAGTTAGCTACAACTTTCCCACAGTATTAAAAGTGAGCTGCACCCTAAATGGGATTTTATTTTCTAGGTAATTTTTTAACATGGATAAACTGCTACCAAGAGAGGTTGCTTTCAGATAAAAGAGTTTTGATAAAGGTCATGAACTTTTGAAACATTTATCTTCTGAGTATTATCATTTATCAATAAAATTTGAACCAACACAATACTGAGATTTATGGGAATCATTCAAACTTAATATACACCTTGACTGTGTGTTATGACATTTTTGCTATTACTTGCTTTTAATTGGAAACTTAATTTTTAAAATAATTCACAGGACACATTTTGTTCTAGCCCCCCAAAATGACTAGCTTCTTATTTTAAAATCTATGCAACTCAGCTTTGATACTACAGGTAAGATAATTCAATCTATATTAAAAAGTCATTGCCAAATTTAAAGAAACAATGTTAGATAACTTTATAATCACAGCATAAAATAACCTTGAATTTTATAGAAATCCTATGGTTTCCAAGTTGTTTTCATATATCTTTTTTAATATAAAGAAAACAACCCTATCAAGGTAGCAGTTCCCCTTTTTACAGGTGTGAACACAAGAACCAGAGAGATTAAAAGACTTCTCAGAAGTCAGGTGCTAATTACATAGTAAATATAGAACTAGTATCAAGCTATCTTGACTGCTGGATGAGCAATATTTCAAATATACCACAGAGCCTCCATAAAAAATCACTTAACACACGCATGCACACACAGTTTCAAAGTTATATTTAAAATATAACTTTATTTTATATTTTAAAAATAAAAATTAAATGAAATTATCTTATTTGATATTTCCTTAGCATATCTATTAAAAGTATATAGTTATGCCTTGGCCGGTTTGGCTCAGCGATTAAAGTCAGCCCACGGACTGACGGGTCTTGGGTTTGACTCCAGTCAAGGTCCTTCAGTTGCAGGCTCGTTCCCAGGTCCCCACTGGGGCATGTGTGAGAGGAAACCAGTCAATGTGTCTCTCACATTGGTATTTCTCTCTCTGTCTCTCCCCTTCCTTTCCACTCTCTTTAAAAATCAATGGGGGGTAAGTACACATATGTAATACCTTAGTCAATAAAGAAATTAAAAAGATTCAATGGGGAAAAATATCCTGAAGTGAAGATTAACAACAAAAAAGTATATAGTCATAAAATAAAAAGTCTACTATCGATATATCTCAGTATTGTCAAACATTGGTAAAAAGGTATCTTGGTAGTTAAGTTAATGCTTCTAAAAATATTACCAGTTTCCAAAATACCAAAGGAAAATCAATTTTCCTAAAATGTTTTATTAAAATAAGCACATCAACTTCTAAAAACAAACAACCTGATTAAACCAAGTTTCTTTTCTTCATAAAATAGAATATCAGACAACATGCATATTTATATGTTTTGGCTTAAGCCCACCAGTAAAATGTGAGAAAGCATTCAGAGGCATACTGTCATTACTTTTTAAAAACCCTTTTATATTCCTAGCTAAAACCAGTAAATTCCATCTCTATTGCCCAGATTCTACTTCACCTGTATCGAAATAGCAGGTGTTATTAATGAAAACAATGTTGATAAACATCAGAAAATGGGGGGGAAATATATACCATTTAGTATAGTAAATGTTTAGTGGAATTCAATCTCTGAAACAACTAAGACACAATATGCAGGCCTTGACAAAAATCTTAGTTTTACAACACTATCCAGAAAATACATTATGAGGACAAGTGAAATAAACTGATTATATAATGAATATTAGATGGTATTAAGAAACTACTGCTGATTTTCTTATACATGATAATAACACTGTGGTTATAAAAACAACTTTTTTTTTTTTTTAAGGAGAAGTATTTAGTGGTCAAGTGTCATGTAAAGCATGCAACTTAATTTCAAATGGTCCAGAAACATATACAAACATAAAAAGTAAAGCAAAAAGTTACAAATTAAAAAGTTGGGCCGAAACCAGTTTGGCTCAATGGATAGAGCGTCGGCTTGGGGACTGAAAGGTCCCGGGTTCGATTCCAGTCAAGGGCATGTACCTTGGTTGCGGGCATATCCCCAGTAGGGGGTGTGCAAGAGGCAGCTGATCGATGACTCTCTCTCATCGATGTTTCTAACTATCTCTCTCCCTTCCTATCTATACAAAATCAATAAAATATATTTTTTTAAAAAGTTGGAAAAATAAGTAATAAAAGCTTTAGGTGACTTGCTACATACAGCAACTGATATTCAATTTTTTTTAAGTTGACCAATGAATAACATAAACTAGTCAGTCATTCACTGCTTCTATTTATCCTAAGGTAGAGTAGATGGTTATAGACTTACATTACAAAAAAAAATAAGGTAAAAAAATTTTGTATCTAGATAAATGTTGTTAGTTTTCAACACTGATTTTTAAAAATTATCAAAAATCAAACCAATAACTTTAACAAATTTCATGTTTTAATAGTACTGCACATTTTGAAAAGTCAATATATAGAGTTTTCCAGTTACTATTACAAGTAAATTCTCAACTAAAGCAATCAATTAAAAAAATAGCATCTATGTTTCTTTATAATCCCCTGTAAATTGAAAATTTGTAAATCATTGTACATTTTTCTAAAAATAAAAAGCAGAAAGTTTCTTAAGAGTTTAAATTAAAAGCTGTTACTACAGAGTAATTAAATAGAAGTTCCTATAAAAGACCAAAATAATGTTATAATAACTTAAAAAGAACAACATTCTGGGTTACTATATTTATAATTACGACTAGGTTATGTTTCAACTGCTATGAAAACTAATTTGGTAGGTTAAAAAAACCCTCAAAAGATTTCCTTTAAAAGTTAGAGACATCACACGTTCTGAGAATCTGGGCTCTAAATCCACTCCCATGCTATGAGTATTCCATAGAAAAGAAAAGGAAAGGGTCCTTGAGTTAAAGTGACCCCTGGTGGTAGATGATTAGAACTAACATGAGAGGGAATTATTTTTAACCAAGTTTAATGGTGAGTTAAGGATACATTCAGGGGATTTAAGAAACAAACACTCAAACAAAAATTGCTTATTCAAACTAAAGTTAATGAAGTATCTGGTTTCTTTCCTACTATGACAAATGTTCCCATGTCAGAATCTCTAATATCACCTGTCTTGGGCCTAAAGTATATTTATACTTAGTAAATAATCTGAAAAGATGAAACTGATTGTTATGGACTAATAAAGAAATACTAATATCTTTGTTTTATCTGAGCAAAGAAGAAATAACCACATTAGCCTTTAGCAGGTGTATAAAGCTAAGTCAAACTGTTGGCAATTTCTTCCTTTTAATGATGCTATAACCAGGAATTCACCTAAGTACGTAACCTGAAAAAAAAAAATACCTCTCTGATTGTTCTTATTTACTTGGAATTTTCTGAACTAACTTAAAAAGCAACAGATTTCTCAATCTAATAATTTTCTCTAAATAGTTCCTGTAAGAAATGCATCAAAAGATTTCTGAAATATTTTTATGAAGCCAATTCATAATTCTTGCCATAGAAAAAAACAGAACTTACACTTCAGATGAGACACATTTACTAAGGTGTGTTGTAACACATTTTAAATGTCTGCAGGATTTCTACTGTTATGACTTCATAAGAATAAATCATAAAGTAGAAGCACTAGATGATATTTCTGTATCTCTGATATCATAGTTGAGAAAGAAATCATCTTTGAGTTGAAAAGATTTGTTTCTTTCAAGGAGTAAAACAAACTCTCCGTGCAGATTCTAGAGCAGCCCAAATTTCTGAGCCATACAACTATTCTGGAGAGTCTACTAATCTCATACAGTATCAGAAGTCAATGCTTCAAAACAAAACCCCTTGTACATAGCTATACACAAATTTAAACACCAAAAGATATATAATAGGCAACATCCTTAGTGATTATTAGACAGGAACCATGTCTATTTAACTTACATAATATCCATTGTGCTGTGTTGGATATAAAGTTAAGACCCTACTATCACACATAAAAGACATGATAATATAAAATATAGGAATTATGAAAAAAATATGTGAATTTTATAAATGCAAATTTCTAGATATAAAAGCTTAAGTTGTAGGCAGAATTAGTTCTTCCTCTCAGTAATAAATCAGAATTGCTAATACAGGTGAAATCATATAATATTTAAGGCTATTTGTATAACTTGTCCTATTTGAAATAACATACTGGCTTACTACTGGGAGTCTACATTGTAAACAACAAGAACTTTTTAAAATAAGAATTATCTCTTGAGTTGAAAGAATGAAATAATACATATTATAGATACTTCCCTCCTCTTATATTGAAGGCCAGAGTTAATGCCTAACAGTCTCCGAGTCATAATTTTACATTTTCAGTTTAGTAAAAAAATATAATGACTTGTTCTGAGTAGCTTCTGGTCAAGAGCATGTCTTAGAAGTGTCCTGAAGTTTAACATATTTTGTTGGGTCTCAGAGTAAATACAATTAACCAACATATGGCTAGGTTATTCTCTCTGCTTTAGAGGAAGAAGAGTATATTTTCAAAAAATGATTTAAAATAACAATTCTATTTTCTACATGTAACAAATTATTTCTAAGAATTACCACTGAATATAAAGGAGTTTAATTTTTTTTTTATATTACAAATATTAAGCCTTTCCATATAATTAACCCCTCCAGGATAAATCAAATTGGAAACAGAACAATTCAGAATTGAGGTACATTACATTCTGAGGTGTTAGACATAAACTATGTATTATTCACCAAATTATGACCTATACTCACTAGGAAAAAAACACCCTATTAGTTTAAAATGATTTAATATAAAAGTGATGGTATGTAGAAAGGGCCACCCTTTCAAAAGATAGTGAAGAAAAAACTGCCTTTTAATCTATATCTTTAAAACCTAGTTCTTACACTCAGAAAGACAACTTTTGGAGTACTGCTTAATAATCCATACTACATATACAGTCGGTGTTTCCTCTTAATGGAACAATTGTTCATCTCTCGTAACTCCTAAATTTTTATTAGGGGGAGGAAAAAAGTCAAACTTCAAAAATTGCTTTTGAGATTGCTTCTCTGTTTTCTCTTCAATTTATTTTTAAACCAACAATAAAAGAGAATGGAATATTATATCTGACACTGCTCTTGTGATTAAAAAACAAAATGTTAAGAGGCTTTAGTAGGAATCTACTTTCTGAGAAAGTCTTAAAAGTCACTTACCCATCTAGTGAGTAAAGATGGAGATTATACTGGATTGCCACTTATGAGATAAAATCACATTAATCTTCCACTAAATCTTCCTTTCTAGCTCCTCACAAGGTAGTGAAGTACTGAAAGAGGAAAATTCCTCACATGGACAAAGATCAGATGAGACAGACTTTAGCAGAATCCTTCGGCTGCCAGTATAATGTTCTCAATTTGTTCCCTCAGTAAGAACAGTGATGAAAATACACACAGAGCCCTTCTCTATTTATGAACAATCACATATGCTCCTTTCCAAAAGGTATTCATCCAAAATAGTTTCCCATTTCAAAATCTGAAAATACTGCAAAGTGGAGTGCTATAAAATGACAGTGAAGAATTATAAGCAGCCAACTCATTATTCAATCAGGAATTTGGCACAATCATAAAACATGTACTGTCTATTTTAATGGATCTTAATTCCTCTGCTATCAACTGAAAATCCAAATTGCAAAATGAACGACTAGTGCCAAAATGTAGTAATTTTGTCAAAATTTTTTCTGCTTGAAAATACTCTTACAAAGCAGGGAAGCCATACAGTAACATCCTTGACATGTAAGATTTGTATATTCTATAAACTATTATGCAAATTTCCGTATGCTATAATGCTAGCATTTACCCATTTCCAGGGAGGGTAAACAATAATAACAATAATGCCTCCTTACATGTGCACTGTAATAGGAGCAAAATGTGTAACTTTCCCAAAGAGCGAAGTAACTTACTTGTTTCTTTCAGAAGAGCAATATTTTTAAATTAAATCGTTATTGTTGAAAAGTAATACATATGTCCCCTTTTTCCTCCCATTAACTTCTAGCCTGCCCCTGACCTTTATCCCAGGCCTTCACCACCCTATTTTCTGTGTCCATGGGTTATGCATATATGCATACAAGTTCTTCGGTTGATCACTTCAATCCATCCCAGAAGAGCAATATTTAAGAATAAAATGTTACCTATCTAGGCTTTTTAATCTGTTTCAAGTAAGGCAAGCTTTCTAGTCACATGGTATTTATCTCTAAAATTTGTCTATTATTAAGTACAAAACATCAAATTATTGAAATTATAGATTGAAAGAAGCTCTTTTTTTTTTTATATCTGCTTTTTAACTTCAGGGTGGCACTTTCTATCAATTATTACCTGTATTCATTCTAAGATAATTCATAGAGTTCTTTGTGTGTATTCACAGTGTGAATACCCGAAGAGTTTTTTAAAACAGGTTAAAGGACAATTTTTACTGGCTCATGTAAAGAGGAAGGAAAATTTCATTCCTTTTTATTAGCAGAAGTAGGTCTTTGTTACTTTCTATCAGGGCATATTAAATTGTAACAAAAATGACATCAGATTGCATCAATTATTTACGTTTAAATTCAACATTTCAACTGTAATAAAATTATAAACTTAAGGTTTTGATACACTTGTATATTTTTTACATTAATGAAACCTAGATATATTTACATGGGAGTATTTGAAATGTGAAAAACCAGAAGGAGCACTCAGAAATGTTTAAACTATGTCTTTCTCTTCTCCAAGGGCCATATAACAACATTAAATCTGTGTTCCACAGAATGGAGATACAATGTAGGGGCAGAATTGGCCAATATAGACTGAATGTAACCTCACTGAAATATTTTATTAAAAATACATACAAATCAGATTAGTTTTATAAATTATATAATTATTTTTAAAATCTAACTTGGCTTTTATAAATTTACTTTGCTATAAAATATTAAGGCAATAATGGTAAATTATAAACTTCAACAAGAGATAATCTGAACTATATCTTCAATGATAAAGCTTTTGGGGGAAAATAGTCAAGATGGACAAAGATAAAAAGTAAATAAAAGTACTTAACACAAAGAATAAATTATAATACAAAGTAAAACTAATAGAATTTTAAAAATTATTAGGATTTGAAATAATAAGAAAATATAATCTACTTATGGACTAGCTTCCCATTTTTCTAGGTATGAACTCAGAGGTAAAACCATAATGCTTTTCAAGTAGCTCTTTTATTTCTCAATACCTGTAGTATCTTAAATTTTTTCTTGGTAATCCATCTTAGTTTATTTTTTGTTTTATTTTTTAATTTAATTTATTAGTATGACATTGGGTAACAAAATTATATAGGTTTATTCTTGACCTTTAAGTGATGCTTTTAATATAAGAACACATTTGAACTATAGTGCTCACTGCTCAGATATTTACTCGTAACACTTATCTTCAACTCCTCCTTTATTCAACCATCCTATTTTTAAATATACTGTTACCATATTATGATTTTAGCAAATACATAGCATAATATTATCTATCCCAAAGTTCTAGTAAATTGGAGCACTTAAGGATTTCAACTCTTAGTATTCACTTATACTTTAACCCAACCAAAGTAACCTGCCTCAAGTTTAAGAATGTTCATTCTAGGAATATACTTCTTTTTAAACTCTCCCCTCTACCCAGCAGTAAGACCATCAATATTAGGGGGCCTTTGACTAATTCTTGTTGGGTAAAGCAATCTAAATGATAAGTAACTGAAACTACTTGAAAATTATAAAAATTATCCTTGTCAACTGTTAGATTAGTGAGAAGTCCATATAGCTGACCTTCCTAAAAATGGGAAACTAATAGAAAGAATCAGTGTCTCAAAAGTAAAACTGGGTGCAAGAAAATGGTAAATATTTGGGTAAATGTAGCTTTTTTTTTTTTTTTTTTTTGCTTATCTTAAATTTCTTTAAAACATTCATAGTGATTCTCTTGGGATAGCTAGAAGATCGGACTCTTCACTACTTTTCATTTGAGTACCTTATAAAGTCTACAATAAATATTGAGTACGCGCTTGGTAAAATCCCATTGCCTTACCAGATCCTCCCTCTACACTACTCTGGAAAATTTCAGGATAACGTATGATATGTAACATTAGAAAACTCCATTGCCCTCAAGATTCTAGTCCAGTATAACTTAAGTATTAAAGAATTCCAGGAGTTTGAAGAAAGCAAGAAGAACGTGAAATATATCCCCTTAACTAAATTCTGTTAGGAAATGTTGAAATAATAGTTTTTTCACAAACCACTGTAGTTCAAACAATGAAGAAATGCAAGAATTTCCACATTGATACACTGAACTAAATAAATTTTATTGCATTAATTGCATTGCCTAGTCTTTTAAAACACTTGAAAATATATCTTTTTTTTAAGAAGGGAGGAGAAAAAAAGAAAGTCTTTTACTAAATATATTACATTATGCAATACTAAATTATAATACTTAAGCTATAGATTAGGTAATATTATAAAATAAAGTAGGGACTGGTAGCACCACATTCTAAGAATTGATAAAATTTAACTACCTAGATATAATTTCTAAATGTCTGGGCCATAAGTATTCAGCTGTTTATTTTAATTTCAACGAATGTCTTAATTTAAAAAAAATTAAGTATTGCTTCAATTCATAACAAACCATCTTACTCAAAAATAACTTAAGAAAACATAACATTAAATAAAAGGCAAAGTCATTAGAAGCCATCAACCCAAGTATATTTCTTACCTTGGCTTAAAATTGTATAACACTCTTTAAACCAAAAAGTAGATGTATAATCACTTTAAAAAAAAAAAATAGCAGCTGCACTTAATGGGATGATTTTACAACATTACCATTTCATATAGGACTGGGTAAAAAAAAATCACAAATATAACACAATAAAATATGAAGATTATATGTGACATATAAAAATCAATTATGCAGAATTTTAAATATAAGTATATATGTGTGGGTTTATTTTTGTTGTTTTGTTGGTTACCTGTTTTGCAATTTCTCTTAAACAGGCTACTCCTTGTTCAAAATTAGGGAAAGCTACTGAGCCATACTTTTGATATTCTGGGACTGGTCTGATTTTTATTGTAGCTTCTGTTATCACACCAAGAGTTCCTGAAAAAGAAGGGGGAATAATCCAATATGTCACATGCCAATTTTCTAAATCATATTTAAATCTATTTTATCTATTTACGCAATTAATTTATTCTATTATTAATATTTAAACCTGTTTATTCTGAGGGAATAATGGCTACTCAAGTTTTTCTAGAAAAACGAGGCAAATTTTCTATTTTCTAAGAAGTTTATAGAGTACATTTTTCTTGGTTATACATAAATATTTTAAAACATTTTTAAGGTAACCTTTCTCCAAGAAGGTTACATTTAAATAATTTTATGCACAACGAGCATGGCTCAGTGGTTGAGTATCAACCTATGAACCAGGAGGTCATGGTTCAATTCTGGTCAGGGTACATGCCAGGGTTTGTGGGCTCGATCCCTAGTGTGGGGCATGCAGAAGGCAGCCTATCAATGATTTTCTTATCATTGATGTTTCTATCTCTCCCTCTCCCTTCCTCTCCCAAATCAATAAAAATATATTTTTTTTAAAGCAACAGGTTTTTGTATCTTACATGCATTCATACAAAAGTGTATTTTGATATTTGTGCCTATTTTTACTGTGAGAACAATTTATTGGGGACAAAAAGAACTTTCCATGAGCACTTAAGGTGATAGAAGAAATTAGAGGGACTATTACAACTTGCCTTTTTTCTTAAGAATTCATATAAGGAAAAGACAAAGGCAAGGGAGATGCCCTTGTATGAAACCAAAAACAGATATTTAATAGACAAAATTTAGCATAAATATACAGCACAAGAGGACCACCAATGAAACAAATATTCTTTTCTTTCTTACATGAAGGAGTGGGGAACAAGTCAGAAAAAATAAGTTAAATATAACTACATAACATGATCTATATATCTATACTAAAATATTTGAAGAAACATGGTTAAAACCAATTGTATTCAGAAGCCAAGCTTTTCAAATCAGTGGTTTCTGATGTACTAATGATAAAAATTATTAATACTATTAAACTTTTTGCAAATTATAGAAAAAGGAAAATTTTGAAATTGTAGAAATTCACTACAACATTTGAAATAAAAGTATCGCAAAAATCAAAGCTCCAAATAAATGTATAATATACCTAAAATAAATTGTCAATATATAATTAAAGATTAAAAAGTACTAAGTCCATAAAAAGTAAATCATATTACATTAGATCACATATAGAGGAGATTTCCTTCCATTTTCGAGATATCAAATATGGACCTATTATGACATGTAAAAATCACAAAGCTCTGCAATTTTGGCCCAATTATATTTAATTTAAAAAAAAAGATATATCTTGTCCATTTTAAAAGATAACAAAGTGACTAGATTTTCTTTTATTTTAGCATCTTTGTTTAATTATAATTCATAGACATAAAATTCACCCTTTTAAAGTAAAAAACTCAATATATGCAACTTTAATAACCACAATCTAAGTTCATTTTTATCACTCCAAAAAAGAAACCTATCAAACAATCATTCTCTATTTCCCACTCCCTACTCCCCTACACACACCACAGCCCTAGACAACCACCAATCTATTTTCGGTCTCTGTAAAGTTTCCTATTCTAGGCATTGTATATAAATAGAATCTTAAAAGATGTGGTCTTTTAATTGGCTCCTTTCACTTAGTAGGGATGGGAACCCTTTTCCTGCCAAGGCCTATTTGGATATTTATAACATCATTCGGGGCCATACAAAATTATCAACCTAAAAATTAGCCTGCTATATTTGGTGAAACATTTAATTAACTCACCCCTAAGGCCTTGGCAGGGCCAGACCAATGATTTCTCAGGCTTTTACAGACCATGGGTAGGACATGCCCCCCTCTCCCCCCATTTAATCGATCATGTTTATGTAATGAAACTCTGCAAAATAGCAGAAAATGGAAGGACATAAGTAAACTTATTAGAGATGTAAGCAAAACTATAGGTCAGTTAATTTGCCTGGGTAAGAACAGTGGGGATATTGGAAGCCCTAGCTAGAGCAATCAGGCAAAAATAAAAAAGGCATCAGTAAAAAAAAAAAATTTAAAAAAGTTAAATAAATAAATAAATAAATAAATAAATAAATAAAAAGGCATCAGAATTGACAAGGAAGAAGACTGTCTCTGTTTGCAGATGACATGATCTTATATAGAAAAAATCCTAAAGACTCAATAAAAAAGCTCTTAGAACTAATCAATAAATTCAGTAGTTACAAGATACAAAATTCACATACAAAAATTCATAGTTTTAAATACACTACCGATAAATTTTATAAAAAAACAAATAAATTGATCCCATTTACAACAGCATCTAATACAATAAAATATTTAAAAATCAATTTAGTGAGATGAAAGATCCCAACTCTGAAAACTATAAGACATTGATAAAAGCAATCAAAGACACAAGTACAGTAAATAGAAAGGTATCCCATGTTCATTTATTGGGAGAATTAATATTGTTAACATGTCAATACTAGAAAAAACCATCTACAAGTTCAATGCAATCACTATACAATTCCAATGGTATTTTTTGCAGAAATTAAAAAACATACACACCACTCCTAAAATTTATGGTGGTAGGGACCACAAAAAACCCTGGACAGCAAAAAGAAATCCTAAACCAGAGGTGTCACCCTTACTAATTTCAAGCATTATTATAAAGCTATAGAAACCAAAAGAATATGGTATGGGCATAAGAACAGGCATATAGCCAATGAAACAGCGCAGAGAACCCAGAAATCAACCCAAATCATTACACAGAATATTTGATAATGGAGACAAGGGCAAACACTGGAGTAAAGATAGTCTCTTCAATAAATGGTGCTGGGAAAATTGGACAGGTATATGCAAAAAAAAAAAAAAAAATGGACCACCAACTCACACCATACTCAAAAATAAACTCAAACTGGATAGAGACTTCAATGTAAGCCGTGAAACCATAAAAATCCTAAAAGAAACCACAGGCAGCAAAATCTTAACATCTCTCGTAGCAATATGTTTGCCAATACAACTCCTAGGGCAATGGCCAGCAAACTCATTAGTCAACAAAGCCACATATCATCAGTACAACGATTGAAATTTCTTTTGAGAGCCAAATTTTTAAACTTAAACTTATTCTAGTGCCACTTCTTCAAAATAGACTCGCCCAGGCCGTGGTATTTTGTGGAAGAGCCACACTTAAGGGGCCAAAGAGACAGTGCGAGTCGCCATTTTCCTAGGGCAAGGGAAACTAAGGAAATAATAAACAAATGGGAACATAAAAATAAAAAACTTCTGCACAGCAAAAGAAACCATCAACAAAATAAAAAGGAAGCTCACTATATGGGACAATTTGGCAATGATACATCTGATAAAGAGTTAATATCCAAAATATAAAAGGAACTCATACAACTTAACAAAAGGAAAACAAACAATTCAATTAAAAAGATGACACTTCTTGAAAGGGGACATACAGTTGGCCAAGAGACATATAAAAAAAAATGCTCAGTCATTAATTATCAGAGAGATGCAAATTAAAATGATAGTAAGATATCATTTCACATCTGTTAGAATGGCTACAATCAACAAATCAACAAATGACAAGTGCTCTCGAGGATGTGGAGAAAAGGGAACCCTAGTATACTGCTGGTGGGAATGCAGATTGGTGAAGCCACTACAGAAAACAGTGTGGAGTTTCCTCAAAAAATTAAATATGGAACTGCTATTTGACCCAGTGACCCCACTTCTAGGAATATATCTTAAGAAACCTGAAACACCAATCAGAAAGAATATATGCACTCCTATGTTCATAGCAGCAGAATTTACAATAACTAAGATCTAGAAACAACCCAAGTGCCCATCAGTAGATGAATGGATAAAAAAGCTGTGGTACATTTACACTATGGAATACTATGCAGCAGTAAAAAAGAATCACTTTCCCCTTGAGACACATGGAGGGACCTTGAGAGCATTATGCTAAGCGAAATAAGCCAGTCAGAGAAAGACAAGTATCACATGATCTCACTCATATGTGGGATCTAATTAACAAAATAAACTGAGGAACAAAATATATCCAGAGACATAGAAACATGGGAATCTCAGAATGCAGAATCTCAGAAGGAAAGATGGGTGGGTGGGAAGAACTTATATGCATATATGCATATCCCATGGACACAGATAATAGTATGGTGAAGGCCTGAGGGAAAGGGGGTGATGGGTGCAGATTAGAAGGGGTGAATGGGATAAAAAAGGGGATGTCATTATCAACAAGACAAGTAATAACAAGTATTGGAGAGGTTGTGGGAAAAAGGGAACCCTCATTCATTGCTGGTGGGAATGTAGACTGGTATAACCACTATGGAAAGCAGTTTGGTGATTCCTCAAAAAAAAAAAAAATTAAAAATAGAGCTCCCATATGACCCAGCGTTCACACTCCTGGATATACACTGAGTGGCCAGATTATTATGATCTCTGAATGCATAATAATTTGGCCACTCAGTGTATATCCTATATAATAAAAGGCTAATCTGCAAACTGTCCCCTCGACCAAAAGTTTAGCCAGCAGGCAGGTCAGCAAACCATCCATGTCCCTTCCCCATTGCCAAGCTGGCCAGACCCCAACCATGCACGAATTCATGCACTGGGCCTCATAGATAGATAGATAGATAGATAGATAGATAGATAGATAGATAGATAGATAGATAGATAGATAGATGTAATATATATAGATATATATAAACATATATCTATATCTATATCTATATCTACATCTATATCTATATACACATACTGAATGGCCAGATCATAATAATCTGGCCATTCAGTGTATATCCAAAAAACCTGAAATCATGTATTTGCAAAGATATATGCACCCTATGTTCATTGCAGCACTATTCATGGTGGCCAAGACATGGAAACATATCTACCGCCGAATGTCCTGCGGTAGAGGACTGGATAAAGAACATGTGGTACATATACACAATGGAATACTACTCAGCCATAAGAAAGGATGAAATAGTGCCATTTGCAATAACATGGATGGACCTTGAGAACATTATGCTAAGTGAAATAAGTCAGTCAGAAAAAGCTAAGAACCATATGATTTTGCTCATATATGGGATATAAAACTGAAACTCCTGTACACAAACATCAGTGTGATGGTTGCCAGAGGAAAGGGGTAAGGAGAGAAAGGGTCCTAATATAAGGTAACGAGAAGATCTGACTTTGGATGGTGGTCACACAGTGCAATATACATATTTTGTAATATAGAAACCCACACCTAAATCTATATGTTCAAGTTGACCAATGTCACCCCAATTTAATAAATAAAATTTTTAAAAATTGCTAAATCAGAAATTTACTAAAATACTAAAAACTTAAGTTGACAAAAAAAAAAAAAAAACCCACAAGAAATAAAATAAGAGATGATCAAACTCAGGAAAGAAACAGAACAGTAACAATAACAACAAAAACATAAAGAAAGAAGGCTAATTTATAAGGCATCAAAAGAGAACAGAAAATAGATTCAAATGAAAATTTAATAAAGGGCCTTGAAGAAAGATAGGAAAATAACTAGAAAATGAAAATGAAATAAAAAAAATAAATAAATCAAGAAAAAAGGTCGGGGGGGAGGGGGGAGGAGGGAGTAAAAAAAAAAAAAAGTCAGAGCCGGGACGGGTTTGGCTCAATGGATAGAGCGTCGGCTTGGGGACTGAAAGGTCCCGGGTTCGATTCCGGTCAAGGGCATATACCTTGGTTGTGGGCACATCTCCAGTAGGGGGTGTGCAAGAGGCAGCTGATCGATGACTCTCTCTCATCGATGTTTCTAACTCTCTCTCTCCCTTTCTCTCTGTACAAAATCAATAAAATATATTTTTTAAAAAGTCAGAGAAACAGTGGTTAAAATGGAAAAGAAAGGAAATCAGAATAAGAAAAATAAAAACAATGCGGAAAACCCCTAATATTTAATACTACAATTCAAAAAATTTTTCCACAAATAAAATAAGATCTGAATATTTACATAGAAATGGTGCACTAGGTTCCAGAGCAAAATGACACAGGACAATAAACTCGGAGTTGTAAAAGCAAGTAAATTTTAACAATAATGAAACAAAAAATCATCAGGGCCTCCAGGCAAAAAGAGGAATCAAGTTACAAAGACAAGAAAGCTGGCATCAGGTTTTAAAACAACAAATAGTAAAGCAGCATTTTCAAAAAACAAGGCAAGAAAGTGTGACCTAAGGATATTACATTCACTCGAACTGACCTGCAAGTATAAGGCCATAGAAAACCAGTTTAGAACATTCCAGAACTCATGGGCTATACATCTGTGCCTCTCCTGAGGAATCTAGTAAAGGATAAGCTTTATTTAACCGAAAGGTGACTAGTAAGACTACAAAAAAAGAACCTATAGTAAGCATTTAACTTATTTCATCCTACAGAAAAGGTTAAAAGGTGGGTCATCGGTGTGTGTTTTTAAAACAAGTACTTTTAATAACACTTTCCAAAGAGAAAAGCAAATCATTATAAGTTACTAGTAAACTCCACACATAGAAAAAGAATACGAAGCATTTCAAAAGTTTTCACTATTTATTATAATTTTCATTATATTGATCATGTTAGAGCATTTAAAATGAGAGCTGCTAGTTAAAATAAAATACAAGAAGTTTATAACATCAAACAAGACAAAAACATTAAAGTGGTTAGTCACATATGTAACTTAGTAAGATAGGGGAAATTAAATGATAATGCTTTCAAGATTATCCTCAAATGATTTAACTGTGACATAAGAAAAATATTATTAAAGCTCAAGGAAAAGTTATGATTCACAGTTAAGGCAGGAGGTTATTTAGTTTAAAATAGCAAATACTAATACATTTTATAAAAGAATATGATTTCACATGAAATTACTTCCTCAGTCATGCTACCTCCTGGCCTATATTATGATGACTTTACATCCACATACATACAGACATGGGGATTAGGGACCATAAATATATTTGTAAAGATCATTAATGCCAAAATAATAAAGTCACAATAATAGTGATGAATTTAACATTTACTGAGTACTTACTACATACTTATAAACTGCTTAGCATAATCTCATTCAATCCTCACAAAAAACTTATAAAGATTTTTACTTTATTATCCTCATATTACAGCTGAAGTCATAGGGAATAGAAAATTACATAATTTACACAAAGTTACAAAAACATAAGTAATGAAATCAGAATTGAAATCCCTATCTAATAGATTTCACAGTTCATGCTCTTAAATCATTAAGGCATTCTTCATGCACATTTATAATAAAATTTCATTTAAATATAGTAATTTACCCTAGCATATGTACATTTATAATAAAATTTCATTTAAATATAGTAATTTACCCTAGCATCATATTTCTTTTGCATATTTATTATAATAATGAGTTTATCTTTCTTAAATTTATTTAATAATTAACTAGAGGGAGGCAGTCCAATCTTTTAGATAAAGTTCAAACTATTTTAAAAAGGCATAAAGACTATATTATCTCTAACCACCCTAATAACCTTTACCATTCTGCCCTTCAACCTGCTACCACTCTACCCTACAATTAAATCTTATGTTCCCATTCTACCGAAAAACTGAGAGCTTCATAAAATAGACATGGTTCTTTCTTACTTCTAAGCCTGACCACATGCAGTTTTCTCTGCAGACAATTCTCTCCCACCTTCTCTCTCAACCTTTTCTGAAGTTACTTTCTCCTTATCCACCCTCAAGGACCACTTTGAGCATGGCTTCTCTTGGGAAGTCTTCCTAATACCTATACATGCGACCTTTTGCCTATATTTTCCAGTGTTTACTTTTATCAGAGAATTTATCAATCTGTATTATTATGGTCTATTATTACCTGTGTCCAGAGTGTGCCAGCACAGTACCTAGCAAGCAGAATTTTTAAAATGCTAATCAATGGGATTTTTAAAATGTCAAGAGTGGTTACTTGAAAAGATAATTTATATTTATCATTTTTGATACTTGTTATTATTCAATTTGACATCTATTAGAAAAAGTTATATACTTTTAGTAAACTTTCAGATGATGCAATAGTACAAAAAGTCACAAAATAAGAGAACTGTATTATTTAAAGGAATTTAACATTTTATTTTTATAATAAAAACTGTTCTGTTTTTTCCTTAGAAGAATATACTGATTAGAAAAGGAGTAAGAACAAACAAGAAAAATAACAAAAACTCAGACACAGGCAACAGTATGGTGGCTGCCAGAGGGAAGAGGAATGGGGGTAATAAAGGGTAAAGGGGGTCAACTACCTGGTGACGGAAGACGACTGTGGGCACACAATGCAATAAACAGATGATGTGTCCTAGCGTTGCACACTTGAAACCTATAAAACGCTATTAACCAATGTCACCTCATTAATTTTAATTAAAAACATAAAAAATAAAAATTGGAAAATTAAAAGTAAACTGGGGAGATATCTTGACAAAAGTTTGTTATGAAAAAGTTCCAAACTATTCCACTGATCATAACTCAGTAGTTGACCTCTAGCATGTCCTAAGACACATAGTGTGTTTTTCCCTCCTTGATATTAGTATCAAAAATTAGAATTTACCCCCCTAGGTTATTATAAACTGTTTATATCCATGCATATAACTAAATGTTTCCAACTCGGTCTTTTTTCCAGCTTATACCACCTTCTGAAGTTAGTATTGAGTTCCTCTGCTAATTTAGAAACCCTGTTTTATCTTATTTCTCTGCATTTTAGGAGTTTCCCTTTCTACCATTCTAAGAATTAAAAAATGAGCACATGTTCACCTTCAATTCACAGTGACTACATAATAGTTAATTTGAAAAATAGAAGAAAGATTAGTATTTTTTCTAATTGGTTCATGAATTAAATATTTAGAATAAAATAGAGGACTACATTCTAATCTACATAACATCAAGTAGCCAAGCAAAGGACACCATTTCAGTAGTGAAATAAATAAAAGACCAATGTAAGTTTTAAAAGTAGATGAATCAAAAAAATTTTTAATTCCACTTCTTAAACAAAGCAAATAGCAATAATAACAGATATAATTATACAAATACAAGACATAAAACAACACTTTATCAGCCCTTTCCCCCTAATTATTCAGACATTAAAGAATATTTTTAATCCTAACAACTACTTTTCTTAATATTATTAAAAACTCTAAAAGAAAAATAAAATAAAACCAAAAGACCAACCTGTCTCTCAAACTATAAAAATAAGTAAAATGCAAAAGGAAATTTAATAAGATGTTCTCATAATAAAAACTTTATTAAATACTAAAGTTAATGAAACTTAAAAAATGTCATTATTATTTAAATAAATGTCTTTCTTTCAAATATTTGATATCAGAATATCACAGATTCTCACAAACCTGAGTCAGTAACATGTATTTTTCATAATAAATTTGCAGTTATATTTACCTTCAGATCCCATGATGAAGTGATGGATATCAGGGCCTGTTGACATACGAGGTCCTTGACAGCTTTTTTCTATTATACCTCTAGGTGTTACCATTTTTATATGAACCACCTGTTAAATACAATGCACGATGTAAGTTCTAGCCATTTATCAATGACTGTTGTGTGTGTACACACATCCAGATATTTATATAAAACACTACTACTTTTTAAATATTGGGTTAGGTAATAAATGTTGCTGCTCTTCAGAATTCTAATATCTTTTCGTAATTATTAAACTAAAAATAAATTTTATAAACTTTAAAAGAGGGTTAAGTCAATCAATTATTGATTTAGATATATTCATTATCTTAAGAACACCTTAAGCACATTTTTTTAAACCAAATTTAGTCTTGGGTTATCTATGTAGCAAAGAACTAAAGGACAGAAAAAATAAGCAGTGATTATATTTTAATAGGTCAAATATTTCACTTATTTAAAATTATCATTCATCTCAAACACTGCTTTGAATTCTAAAAATATATTCTTGCCTTATTCCCTCCTTCAACATAGCTAATCTGCCTCCTTAGGAAGGAAGAGTGAAAAGATTAAAGTATTAATTATGAACAGGTCAAAGATGGGATGAAGAGGGAGATCCAATGACTGAGGTAAAGAGGGAGAAAGAAATATGTGATATATGTAAGATATGTTTCACACAGGTGAAAAAGTAACTACACTGTGTGGGGGATGGGTTGTCATTCAAAAATATTCCTGAGATCTGAATCTAAAATAGTTAGGTAAAAATCCAACACATTTTTAGAATGATTTTTGAACAAATAAATAAAAATATATATATGTTTGTGAGCATGCCAAGAAAATGGTCTGTAAAAATAAGTACAAAGATATTAAAAGTGTTAGAAATTACTTTATTTAGTTAATATAATAGCATATCTGAATTTCCTTCTATGTTTCATAACTGAATAGTATACCAAGAAATCTTTCACAAAAGCAATGGATTATTGCTGATGGCCAAGAGCTTCAACTTTATAGCAAACTATAAAAATCATGATCATTTAATCAAATGATCAGGAAATCATTTATGAAGAGATAACCATTAAATTAAAAAATATTTGAGTTGAACTTAAAATGACCTTAAAAACAAGTAGCAATCAGAATGTAAGATGAAAAGTTTATCCTATAACATATAGAAAGCACCAAGACATCTCAATTTTCAGGTTATCATATTAAAATTTTATACTAACCATCTTCAGCTTTTTTCAAACAACTAAATAGGTATTAGTATCATTATTTATTGCACTTGAACGAATTATGCAATAATATTGCATAATTTTGAGAAATATTTTTAACACAAGAAATTTAATGTTTTTCATGAATTCTACTCTAACATCTAAAGGAATATATCAACTTCAGTAGTTTACATAAAAGCAATTAATGTAAATTAGGAGTTTCAGTGGAAATTATATATTATAAAAAAATTATATGCTAAGTAATTATTAATGCAAATAAATACATTACAATGTATGCTATAACTTATGGCCCTTAAATTATTCTTAAAAAGGATGAAAATAAATTACATGCTTTAGTAATATTAAATATAGCAATCTGTCAAATATTTGCTTAACTCTGATAAAGCTCTTAATACAATAGCAAAAGGATCAAATTCTCTCTCTGAAACTGAATTTATTTTTATTACAAAATGAAAATTTGATTTCTAAAATATCAGTAAAAATATATAAAAACAGGATAATGTAAACATTTAAAAAGTATTCATAATACAGACACTTAAATTTCTGATGTAACTATAAAGAACCAAAATTCATTAAAGATTTGGTATTCCTAGTAATGAAGATATTGATAAAAATGTTGAAACTTTAGATTTGAAAAGCAAAGATAAGTAACTCTAAGAATAATGTTAGGAACATAACTTTAATAGTCTCATAAAGTTATTTAAAATTGTTATCAAAATATTGCTGATAAGGAAACTAACATTTTTGAAGCACCTACTACATACCAGGAACTGCTAAGAATTTTCATTCTATGTCCTTTACTTTTTATAATTCTATACAGCAATTAATATATTTTATTCCATTTTACAGGGGAGAAAACTAGTTTAGAAAGGTTAATCAATTTGCACAAGGTCACACAATTATCAGGTCAACTACTAAAAGAACAAATGGAACAAATGATACCTAATTCTTAACCAGAATGCCCATAATTGTTACACTATTATCAAAAAATTGTCAGCTCTGATTGGTTTGGCTCAGCAGGTAAAGTGTCAGCCTGCAGACTGAGGGTTCTGGATTTGATTCCTGTCAAGGACACATAACCGGGTTGCAGGCTCCATCCCCAGTAGGGAACATGCAAGAGGAAGCCATTCAATAATCCTCTCTCATTGATGTTTCTTTCTCTCTCTCTCTCTCTCTCTCTCTCTCTCTCTCTCTCTCTCTCTCTCTCTCCTCTCTCTCCTCTCTTTCTCTCTCTCTCTCTCTCTCTCTCTCTCTCTCTCTCTCTCCTCCCTCCCTCCCTCCCTCCCTCCCCTCCCTTCCTTCCTGAAATTAATAAAAATATATTTAAAAATAATAATAATAATAACTGTTAGAGCACTGACATCAGATCAGTAAAACAAAATGGTGTGCACACAAAACACTAGAGGTTATATGGCCACTCACTAGAACATTTTTCATTCAGGCTCTTGAACGCTATATAGAAAAATTATTTTTTAGAAAAATATAAAAATCTCCTAAGGCAAAAAAGTAACAATGATGAGATCATTTAAATAAATTGACTAAAATCTTGGTATAGTTGAACACTGAAGCTCCATAAGGATTATCAAACAATATTTATATATTTTATGTCCGATACTATGAAACATTTCCAAGCTTAAATATCAATCACTTGATTAAAATAAATATTAAAAATAAATATCAAGCACTTGAAAAGGAAGCACACTTAAGTAATGACCACTGCACAGTCAGCGTTACCATAATCAAAAGAAGTATATTTCTGAGGGGACTTTACCACCCAACTAAATTTTAAAAGGCTTCCAGCACTTTATAATAATCTCTATATATTAATCAATGATTATACGATAACTAAAAAAAATTACCAGGTCTTCAATATTGCCATAGATATTCTTCTTCATGCCTGATGCCCGAGTAGATACCCATCCTCCCACAGTGCTGAATTCCAGGGAATCTGGTTCATGACCTGTACAATAACCACTTTCTTTAAGCTGAAAAACAAACATGTAATATTTTAGTAGTGAAAACTGTCCCATTTCACAAAGCACTCAACATATTAACTCTTCCCACTTTTAAATCCCCATAGGTCACTAGAATTTAATTCATTAAAACCTATATACAAAACGAAATACTTGTTTCATCATACTTGTCCAAAAAAAAGTGTTTAAGCTTTTGCATCAAGGAAAACTTTACAACACTAAGATTCCGTCCAAAGACAGTTGTATTTTTCACAAGTTTACAAGACAATCTTACTCTTTATATCCTTTTATTTTAAAGCCAACTACCTAGCCTACTATTTTTTTCCACGAAGAGACCATATAAATACTTATGGAGATTAGATTATGCTTAAACAACTGCCAACTTCACCTAAACACTTTCAATAACTAAAGCACTTAATCTCTTTTCCTCTACCCTAAGAGAATATGCAGCAGGCCTGCAGAAAACCCAAGCAAATTGCCTGTACTTAATTCTCTCTAGGAGTCATGTGTTTTAATGTACAGCCATCTGGCCAGGTTTCCTGCATGTAATACTGTCATTTATTTGTAATGCAGATTGTGCATTCCTGTACATTAAATAGTCACTTGTTTCTCATTTTTCTATATTAGCTTGGCTTTGCCAGCTGCACAGCACCTGAGGTTGAATGGATGCCCTTCACTGCAACACCAAAGCCATTTCACTAAAATCATTTTAAAGACTCTGCCATCTCATATCAAACAGTACAGAACCACCATCTGCATACCCACTGTCTACTGCACTCAAGCTCATCAATCTGTGTTGACCATTTGATAGTCATCCAGTTAAGCAACTGCTCCTATTTTTCAAGTAACCCATGCATAGATGTAGAATATGTCAGCTATGTTTGTATCCACATATTTAAGTACTAGTGGCTTGGTGCATGAAATTCGTGAACATTCAAAGGGAATTAGAGGAAATATTTTAATATTGCCCTTTGTTCTTTGTTGGGAATGGGGTATGCAATCCTCACATCCTGGGAGGCCGGGCGCAGGGGGCGAGGACACAAGCCTCAGGTCCCGGGCCCATTGCTGGGGGTGGGAATGTGAGCCTTATGTCCCAGGGGGTTTAGGGAGTGTGTTGCCACGGACACGAGCCTCACATCCTGGGGGACCTGGTGCAGGGGGTGGGGACGGGAACTTCATGTCCCGGGTGGTGCAAGTCCCTGTCTACCGACAATGCAAGTCCCCGCCAACCTGCTCCTGCTGCACATGCAGCCCACTGACTGGTCTTTACGTGAAGGCGTCCCGGCCAATTTCCATATTACCCTATTATTAGATAGATGGTATGAAAGTTGTAATAAAAAATTTGAGCCAATTAGGTTAAATATAATTTGTTAGCTTTCTCACACAATAATGCAATATTATTTATCTTTTCTGGGTTTGTTGCTAGGAAAACAAGGTTTAAAAATATATCAATTGCCACATAATAGGATTTTTTCACTAAATATCTAATATATTTATTTAATTTTAAGAGGTTAATAACCACCCACAAAAAGGTAGCTTAAGTACATGACAAAACAGGTGAAAATGAAGATTATAAAACTGGAATATTTCTTTCCTAATTTTCAATCAATCTATATTTATATTATTTATTTTCAAAAGACTACTGCTTCTCAAATTTTCTAAAAATAGAAGAAAAAGAAAAGATATTCATGGAAACTTAGATGTATTAGGTACTAGGTACTAGGTAGTATTCATATATTTTCAAGACAAAATCTCCACATTACTGACACAGAAGCAAATAATTAAATACACATTTAAATTATTTCTATAAGCATATACAGAGCTTGTTACTCTATGTGCTTCCAGGACTTGTATGTCTATTTCCTTCACCAGGTTAGGGAAATCTTTTGTCATTACTTTTTCAAATAGGTTTTCAATTTTTTGTTTTCTGTTTTCTCCTTCCAGAACCTCCATGATGTGAGAGTTGGTATACTGGACATTTTTCCGGAGGCTCCTTACATTATCTTAATTGTTTTTTGTTAGTCTTTTTAAATTTTTTTTTTTTTTCTGTTCTGATTAGGTGTTTTTTGCTTCCTTATATTCTAAATTGCTGATTTGATTCTTGGTTTTATCTATTTTACTATTGCTTCCCTGTAAATTATTCTTTATCTCAGTTAGTGTAACCATATCTGACCGGTCCGTTTTTATGGTTTGCTATATCCTTTTTTATGCTGAAGTTCTCATTAAGTTTCTTGTGCATCTTATAACCATTGCTTTGAACTCTGTATCTGGTAGTTTGCTAACTTTCATTTCATTTAGTCCTTTTTCTGGATATTTCCTCCTTTGTTTTCATTTGGGACCTGTTATTTTATCTTCACATTTTGGCTGCTTCACTATGTCTGTTTCTATGTATTAGATAGAGCTGCTATGTCTCCCAGACTTGGTAAAGGAGATGTCCTAAAGAGCCCAGTACCACAGCCTCCCCATTCAGCCAAGCTGAGCACTAGAGGGACACTTGTGTGGACTATGTGCATTCTCCTATTGTTGTTGAGCCTTGATTGCTGTTAATGACACTGGAAGAGACTGACTCCCAGGCCAATCAGCTGCAAGGACCAGCTACTACTATGGCAGAACTACTGTGCAGGAACGAATTATATGAAGCAAATCTTGCTTCAGGGGGCTTTGGTGCTCACTGAGTCCACCCATTGAGTGTGTCACACATGGAGACAGTAGGATTGTAATCTGGGGTGGTCTGAAGCTGTCTATTGAGTATGTGCAAGGTCAGCCATGGTCTGTGCCCTGCCTGGGGCTACTGGCAGGAGCTACAGAGTGATCTGCAGATGGCTGCTATTTATTTTGAGTTTAGAGGTGCCCAGGAGAGACCAAGCTGTGAACCAAAGCTAGCTGCCACTAGTGCGAGGTCTGAGGCCACTTAGCAAGAGTTACCAAGTACACAGAGGCTAGATGATGCTTGTTTCAGAGATTTTAGGAAAGTCTGAAGCATGAGCCAAGATAGGCCGTTTCTATGAAAAAGCCACTAAAAACAGCATGGATTGGTTTTCAAGTTGGGTGGGGCAGAATCTTAAGAAATCACCAGAGTAGAATGAACTGTGTGAGCCACACTAATGGAGACTCAGATATAGTGCCTGCTGATTCTGTGGGGTTGTCTCAGGAAAGAAAAAATGGTGGAATCCGGTTTGGCTCAGTGGATAGAGCGTCAGGTCTGCAGGCTGAAAGGTCCCAGGTTCGATTCTGGTCAAGAACATGTACATTGGTTACAGGCACATCCCCGATAGGGGGTGTGTAGGAGGCAGCTGGTCGATGTTTCTTTCTCATTGACTCTCTATCCCTCTCCCTTCCTCTCTGTAAAAAATCAATAAAATAGATTTAAAAAAAAAAAAAAAAAGGAAAAATGGCCCCTGCCAGTACTTTTGCCTGACATAATTCTGCCCCTTTCCCCTCACCATTTCTTGCCCTGATGCCAGACAATTCAGTTCCTCACCATATGTCCCTGGTTCTTTTCAAACTGCTGCTCCAGTGTTGGAGCTCAGACTGAGTATCAGTAAGTGCGTGCATGAAATTGCCTAGGACACCAGGAGCCCTGTTTCACTCAACAACAATCCCCACTGGTTTTACAGCCAGAAGTTATGAGGACTTCTCTTCCTAGCTGTGGAACCCTAGAGTAGGAGGCCTGGTGTAGACTAGGACCCCTTGCTACTTAGGGGGTCCCTCCATAACCAAGATATCTCTCCCAATTTTAAACCACCATATGTGGGTGTGGGACTAGCCTTTCCAAGTTTCCACCCCTCCTATCAGTCTCCATGTAGTTACTTCTTTAAATCTTTAGTTGTAGAACCTCCATTCAGCTAGATTTTAGATGGTTTTGAGTAGTAATGGTTGTTCTCTAGTTTAGTTGTCATTTTGATGTGGTTGTGGGAGAGTGTGAGTACCACATTTATCTATTCCACTACCTTAACTGTAAATCTCTCAAGTTGTAGATATTAAATGAATGCAGTTTATTGCATGGCAAATATATCTCAATAAAACCATTATAAAACAACTAAATAAAAAAAAATAATTCCAATGATTTAAGCCCAAGCTTCCCAAAGTACTAAATTCCGTCAACTGAAAATGAAAAGGCTACAGAAAAAGCCAACCATGGAGAAAAACAGAAATTCAATTTTTAAAATGTTGAGTTAGTTTAAGATCTTTTGTCTAAAATGCGTATTAGAAAAGCAAATCCAGACATCAACTAGGCAACTGAATATACAAGTCTTGAGTTCAGGAAAGCTGTGTGAGATGATGATATAAATTTGGGGGTCTGGCTGTAGAATGAATACTTAAAGTCAGCTGAATTTGAATACAACAGACAGTGCTCAATAAAAATTAGTGCAATGATAAAAGACTTTACGCTATTAATGTATTTCATCCTAATGAAAACCTTATGTAGAGAAATTTTTATATTCATTTTATAGATGAAGAAAGAAATTGAAGCATAGGGAAATGAGTCCATAGGCAGAAAAAATATATCACACATCCCTAGGCAAATAACTAATAAAATGAAGTAGCCAAAGATTTAATAAGCCTAAAAGCAAATTCCCAAAATTCATAATTGACATGTTAGTGACCACCTTAAATTTCACATATTTTAATATCAATTTAAAAATTAAAAAGGTTAAAATCTGTGCTATACAACTACAATATATATGTAATGTTAAAACTTCTAAAAGAAAAAAGCAGGATGGTTTTAGCTGATTACTTCAACTGAAATAGAAACTGAAGGACAGAGTTTAACAAGAAAGAACTTGAATTGGGATCAAAAACAAATGTAGAGCTGAAACCGATTTGGCTCAGTGGATAGAGCTTCAGCCTGTGGACTGAAGGGTCCCAGGTTCGATTCCAGTCAAGGGCATGTACCTTGGTTACGGGCACATCCCCAGTAGAGGTTGTGCAAGAGGCAGCTGATCGATGATTCTCTCTCATTGATGTTTCTAACTCTCTATCCCTCTCTCTTCCTCTCTGTAAAAAAATCAATAAAATATATTTTTTAAAAAAAACAGATGTAGAAACTATATTATAGTCTACTAGAAGCAAAAAAAGAAAGTTTTATTTAGAGAAATGAACTAGTAAGTAAAATACTAGAAGTTCTTACTCTAAGAAAACTTTATTTAAATATCAAAGAAATATGTTTCTAGAATTTTAAATCTAACCTTTTAAGAAAAAGGAAAACTTGGAAAGGTTAAAATACTACACCAAATACCATAATAAAAATATAAAATTGAAGACATGAAAGGCCAACCTTTATTTTTAAAAAATTGCTTTGTTGATAATGCCTCATTGAGGCATAATGGAAGACTAATACAGGATATTTTATAGGGTTTTTTTTTTCATTAAGTACTATTATTCTGCCCACTGAAACTATAATAGTTAGCAAATCTAATTATGCTAACATATAAAACCTTGACTTACTGAAGATCTTTAACACTATCTCAACAAATAAGTTCCAGTTCTCTGTTCTTATTGCATTAAAATTAAAAATGAAGACAGTAAACAGTTTAATAATTTTTTTTCAAAAATTATTTCATCTAGAATTGTTTGCTGGCATACCAATTTCATTCAACTCTTTAGCAAGAAAGAAGGGGAAAAAAATGAGATCAATAAGTATGTCACATTTCCCTCAAAGTCCTATTAAAAAGAGGAAAGGGTCTCTGTAACTCAAGTTGAACAAAGTGGTAATAACATCAACAACAAACTGGACATTATAAAAACTGAGTTATATCTGACTCATGTTTGAAGATGTTGAAGGAACCAATACATTTTAATAACTGCCTGCTTAGAAACCATCAAGGGAACCTAAAATTTAAAAAAAATTAATTAGGATCCCCCAAAAGTACATAAGGACCCCAAGAGTTGCATTAACTACATGAGATGAGCAGCTTTCAATGAAATTATACATTAAGAAGTTCAGTAAGTAGCAAATATCAACATCTAAATAGTTGGTACAATTTATCACCACCTTCTGAAAATGCTATGCCCAATTTGTTCTTTTTTGCTTCATTCTTACTACTTTATTTCAGGTCACTATCAGCAATTGCCTGAATTACTGCACCCTCTGAACCTATCCTTACATGCCCCATCCATCCTTCACACAGTAGCCAGAAGTGTCTAATTACAAAGATAATGTCAAACTTCTAAAAGGGCTTTATAAGGCCCTTTATGATCTCACCTCTTCATGTTTTCCTACCTTCAGCCTTTATCATTACTGCATGTTCACCCACTCAATATACACCAAGAATGTGTGCTCTCCTACATACACGCACTAGATATCAGCCATACTCTGTCCCCAAAAGCAACAGCTGCCTATAAAGCCTCTGTTCATGCTGCTTCCTAACTGGATTGTTCTCCCTAATCCTATTTACTTTCTGGCCAATTCTCACTCACCCTGAAGTTGCATTTTAAATGTTGCATTTTCTGTGATACATTTTTTTGTCCAACTCCTTTCCTCCTAACCCCATTTGATGAGTCACAATACACCACATTTAGCCTTCACCTTCATATTCTCACTCTGAATCATGACAGTCTAATGACCTTTATCGTAATATAACATAAGCTATCCGAGTGTAGGGGATGGTATCATTCGTTATTGTGTCTAGCTCAATACCTGACCCACGACAGAAACTGAACAAATTTGTTCAGTGAATGTATTGTGAAAGGTACTTCATTCATAGAGGGGACACATGTCAGTTTTGAAAATTTTAACTAAATAACATACCTGTCTTTCCAATTCTTGTCCTGTTATGCCAGCCTCTACATGAGCTGTCAGATTATTCTCATCAACCCAGAGGATTCGATTCTGTTGCAAAGGAATAAAAAGGTCTCATCTCCATGAACTATTGACATGAAACAGAACTTCCTAACTGAAAGCAGTAAGTGACAAGAGAGTAATTAGGCAGGTAGGGTTACTCACAACAGAAAGCTCCATTTATCCCTGAATTTACATGATAGATATAACATAGGCAGTATATTAACAAGAGTTGGTTTAAAACATGGACTGTCTTCATTCAGATAGTAATTTAAATTTGAGTATACCTCTTATCTTGGGCCAATTATTTAACTGTCTAAGCTTAGTGTTTCTTTATTTGTAAAGTGTAGATAGCAATACCTATTCACAGGGTTGCTGTTAAAAATTAAATGAGATACTACACAGAAAAAGGTTAGTAAACACAGTTCCTGTCATTTTGCAAACACTATCTACACTATTGTTTATAGTTACCAATCATATCTAAGAATATCGGAAGATGTCCACCTGAGATTAGAAAAAGATACTTGCAAAGACATTTGAATACTGTAAATGACATCCCTACAGGTGTCATAGATCAGAGCAGAACCACAGAATTTTAAGCATCTACTCAATGTTAAAACTTTCACATATATTACCTCATTTAATCTTCAAAATAACCTTCCACAGTATTACTGTCTCAATTTTAAATACTTAATAACAGATTTAGAGCTAAATCTATACATAGTAAAATAAAGAGCCAGAAATTCCAACACATTCCAAAGTCAATTCCAGAATAAATTACTTTTAGCTCTCTCCACAGGTAACTCCCTTTTTTATACTCTGGTTTGAGGACAAAGGTTGATGGGTAATTTTGTAGTAGGATAATCAGGCTGTCACTATCTGATCTTGCTAATCAATTTTAGCAACACTAAAAGTGGACAACTATCATGTACCTCCCTATGTGACATGACACAGAAAAGCATATCATCATCTTTGTCATATTCTTGCTTAAAAAATATATTAAAAGCTAGGCCTACAGCTAACTAGATTTTATATCTAACTTCAGGTTTAGAGAGCACACAGAATCTAAAAGAAGAGTTAAATGATACCAAGAAGAAGCAATAGGCAAACTCAAAATATGACAGTCTGTATTACAAATAACCTAGTTTCTCTAAGTCAGTATCATTAAAAAAGGAAGAATAAGGCTTCAATTACAATGAGATTTAAGGAAACAACCAAAATGTGGGCCTTGTATGAATTCCCTTTTGAACAAATGAACATAAATTTTGAGACAACTAGAAAATCTGAATGTTGACTAGGTAACTAAAGAGATGCACAAAATATTTAGGTATAAAGTAGAAAAAATACCAGAATTTGCTTTAAAATAGTAGATTAAAAAAAGAAAAGATAAAACCAATAATGGTGTTTAAGAGAATTTCAAAATAAATAGTTACAAATATTATATTTTTATAATAGCCAGTGTGGCTCATCTGGTTAGAGCATTATCCTGTGCATCAAATGGATTGGGTTCGATTGCCAGTCAAAGCATATAACCAGGTTGCGGGTTCAATCCCCAGTGGCAGTGGATACAAAGACAACTGATTAATGTTTCTCACATTGATGTTTCTCTCTCTTTTTCTTCTTCTCTCTCCAGAATCAATGGGGGGAAAATTCTCGGGTGAAGATTTAAAAATATATATATATATATATATATACTTTATTATAATGAGGAATATGTAACCAGGAATATCGTTGACTATACAAAGATAAAGTTTATACCCAAATTAAAAGTTTAGCCCAACTGATGTATAACTCAGTGGTTGAGCTTTGACCTATGAAACAGGAGGTAACAGTTTAATTCCTGGTCAGAGGGCATGCAGGAAGCAGCCAATCAATGATTCTCTCTCATCATTGATATTTCCATCTCTCCCTCTCCCTTCCTCTCTGAAATGAATACAAATATATATTTTAAAAAGTTTAACAGGCCAAAATATCCAACTCTTGGACCACAATGGCCAAAACTTCAAAAATTTATCCTATCATTAAAATTACTTAGCTCCACTATTTTTTCCAAAAGAAAAAAATGCAACAGCATTAGTAAAAATTTAAAGGACAAGATTTTGGTGATTAAAATTAACCTTAGCTAATATTGTTTTAATTAACTAATATTTGTTTTTTAACAAATTAATGTATTGCATCAATATTCCAACCCATACTTTTCAAACATCAATTTCACCTGCCAATTTGGTAGAAGCCATCAAGATATATTCCTTACAGAAAGAGTGAGCATAGCTTTTGGAAATCTGAACACAAGGGTAAATATAAACACAAAATTAATTTAAAACAAATGGACAATATACCCTTTAATGATGACAACTAAGACTGAGCCAAAATACAATTTTTAAACTAAACACTATTTTTAAATGCATCTTAATAATCATATACCATCTGTGACGTGTCCAAAGAAATAATTGTTCTTGTCTCATCTGCAGGACACTTCAGGCCATATGAGACACTTGTTCCTCCTGCCAAAATAGAAAACAACTTATATACATATAACTACTCCCTAATACAAATAGGCCTGCTAGGAAATAATACCTACATCTAATTTGCAAAATGTCATTTATAAGTGCTAACACACTAAAAGCAAACTTACCTTTATTGTATGCTGTGTGTAAAAATGTAGAACTATTATGGAGCTGAAAACAATGTGGCTTTATCCCCTGGGCACACTTAAGGGCAGCAACTAGCAATTTGTGAAACTCCAAAAATATGATTAGAAAAGTTCTACACTAATGATTACTGTAAAAAGATAGCTTAAAATAAAATATAAAAATATCTATTCTATAAAACTAGACACACCATTACCTCCTTTTTGCCATGATTATGAGATTCATTTATCACTTAATATCTTATATCCTCATGTAAAAATGGTTTTAATAAAAACCATTAGAATAAAAACAAGTTATAATTGTCTATATGATATTCAAAAACAAACTTGTATATTCTTTGGTGAAAAGTGATTTTAATATAAAGTAAATAATACATAGAAATATTTGAACAATGCACTCATATTTTCCATTAACATTGCTGTCAAAGGAATAATAATTTCTTGAAACCAATATAGAATATACTGTTGTTAATTCTTAACCACATCTATATCAACATAAATCAGAACACATTCTTAATTGGTACTTCCAAACATTGTGGACAGAAAACATGTGGAAGTCACTTTGATACAAGGTAAGAACTATAGATATAGAGGGTGTTGATTCATGAGATTCAGCTAATTTTATAAGGTGAGACATGAATTGTCTGTTAAAAACATGCCTGCCCTCAGCAACCACTCTTTTGCTTGTCATTCATTTAAAATTAGAAAAATATTGTATTAAAAATAGCACTGTAACCCTGATTGGTTTGGCTCGGGGTCATGGGTTTGATTTCCGATCAAGGGCATGCACTTGGGTTACAGGTTTGATCTCTGGCCTAGTCAAGAGTGTGTGTGGGAGGCAACCAATCTGTGTCTCTTTCATATCCATATTTATCTTTCCCTCCCTCCCTTCCTCCCTTCCTTCTCCCCTCGTCTTTCCTTCCTTCTTTCCCTCCCTCCCTCCCTCCCTTCTTCCCTCTGTCTCTCTCTTTTACCTAAAAGCAATGTAAAAACATCCACCGGTGAGGTTTAATAAAAAAATAAAAGTAGTACTGTAGTGCCTTGGATTAGAAAAAGTTGAATTCATTGTTTTATTAATTCAACTGGAAATATCAACTCAAGAAAGAATATGAAGCTTCTAATTTGGGGGGACCTCATTTCCATTCCATCATAGCCAATTCAGTCAGTAAAGGCAATTTCCTTTGGCATGTGAAAGTTATTAAAATAATGGGGTTAAAAAAGATCGAAAAAGATCAAAGTTGTCTTAAGGTGTAAAACAGTCTTAATTCTCATTATTAAAAGATACTGATTTGGTCATCAGTGTCCTTGTTGATCTTTTATGCTGCATTATATTTCTTCTCAAAGGTTTACATTGGGTATATTTAACCTTTGAAAAAATTATCTTCATAAGGATAAAGGTTAGAAAGCAATTATTAAAGCAGGAACATATTCTTACTTAGGCATTAAAGTCACAGCTTCAACTAGAGTACATATGGAAAAGAAGCCATGAACTAAGGGTATATCACTTCTTAGGTAGTTCTACTTAGAACAGAAATGAAGAACATAACAATTTTTCAGAATAACTTTATTATAATTATAAAAATATTTGTTTTCTGTGGATGGCACAAATATTTAAAATACAAATATTTTAAATTAAAAAAAACAAATTTACATATTAAAATTCAAAAGACACAATACCTACCACCAAATGGTATGATACAAAGGTTATATTTGCAGGCTAGATTCACAATCTTAACTACATCATCGTGACATGCTGTTGAAAAAAAAATAAATTAATCACAGAAACATTTATAAATTCTGGGTAATACTGCAAAATATGGGACTATAAAGTAACCTTTTCTCATTAACTTATGAAATAGCTATACTAAAACAAACTGTTCATTATTTATCTTTTTAACTTCTCACTTTGAAATAATTTCCTACTTACAAAATAGTTGCAAAAATGGTACAAAAAATTTCCTTCACCCAACAGCTGCAAATATACCTTATATAACTATAGTTCAATTATCACATCCAAGCAACTGACACTGCTACAATACTATTTACTAATCTATAGAGTTTATTCAGATTTGGCCAGCTATTCCTCTAATGTTCTCTTTTCTAGACCAGGATCACACAGTACATTAATTGTTGTGTCCCCTAATTGTCTTTAATCTGAGACAGTACTTCAGTCTATCTTTAACTATTACGATCTTCTGAAGAGGACTTGTCCGTTTTTTCATAAGAGTATCCCTCAATTTGGGTTTATATGAGTTTCCTCCTGATTAAGTTCAGATTATACTTTTTGGCAGGAATTCCACAGTTGGTGATGTGCCTTTCTCAGCGTGTTATGTCTGAAGGTGCATAATGTAGAGAAGCAGCATTTCTAGTAATGCTATCTCTCACCATTTGGTAATACAGTACCTGTTAGGTTTCTCCACTCTAAACTTTTTATAATTAATATGTATCATGTGGTGGGACACTTAAACTATGTAAATATCATGTTCCTTATCATACTTTCACCCACAAAATTTTACATATTCTTTGCAGGAGCTGCTAAATTTCTAAACTAACAGAGACAAAAGACTTATTCCATACTATTCCCAAATACACAGAAAAGTATACATCACAAATATAGGAAAGTAATTTCATCTCAGCTACATATAATCTTGGTCATTCCTGCTATTTATGACACCTCCCTCCTATCCCCAAATTAAACTATGACTTTTCTCTGAGTTACTCCCTGCAAAATAGAAGGTTCACATCTAAAAACTGAAAGTCTATGAATAAGCCATTTAAAAAAAATACTTTATATATTTCTTTTATAGAGTGTAAAGAGGAAAATGAATCAGAAGATCAGTGGAATTTTCTAAAAAAGGCAATATGGACAGTAAGGAACAATATACCTGTTCTGCTTTAAATTTTCTGACAGAAGAGATGGGTGTAAAAACCACATATATAAATATACTGCATCAGCAGAGCAAAGTAACAACAGAAAATTCACCTACCATCTATATCAAGCCAAAAAACTAAAATTAATTTCTCAAAATTTAACTATTCATATCAAAGACAATATGTTTCTTAAACAACTTGCTTTACCATCTGATCACCATGCTTTTTTAGCTCACCAGCTGATATCAACAAATTATTAGTTTGCAGTAATCAATTATTTTAACTAAGAGTTTAATTATTTTAATTAATGGTCTGAATATATCATTATTGTTACTAACTTCATTAAGCTTTTTAAATTAAACAAAAATACATGTTTCTACTAACCTCCCAATATAATATTTATTTCTACTGATCTCCTTATGGTAATTAATTAATTAATTTAAAATGAAGATTTAACAATTAACAACAAAATCAATCAGGATGATCAGATCAAGAAAACTTTATGACCTCTAGAATATTTTTCACAACTTATATGCTAAAAATTACATATTTCCAACACTAAGTTAACTTTTAAATTGTTAAAATTTAACAATCCTAAATTAAAAAGACAAGAAAAAGAAAAACTTACTTGGCCATAAAACTATATCAGGAATTCGATGAAAAATTCCTTCCCTGAGCAAAAATATCTCATGAAGACAATGACCTATTTTGTGGTTTAAAAAAATAAAATGCAAAAACATTTTAAATTACAGGAAATTTTTTTTTAAATTTAAAAAAAAAAGCATTTATATAAAATTACTTACCATGAGCTCTAAATACCCGATCATCTGCTTCTTGTGAATATGAAATATTAGTTTCTTTAAGCTCATGAAGAAAATCTTCATTTACAACAGACGGAGGGGTATCACTAGGACTTAAGGATGCCTAGAAAATAAAATAGGTTTCTTTGGTTTATTTCTATAAAATAAATTTTGAATGCCTCTGTTAGGGTGAGTGACTATAAAATGTAAAATGTTTTATATTCAAACTAAGACAGAAGTGTATGAAAATACCAAATAATATGTATGGAAACCAACCTTGTGATAGTTACAAATTGGAAATGGTATGGTTAGTCACATTCTATAGCATAACTTACAGAAACATTAGATTTCCTCTTTTACTTCTACAGGACACCTTTTTATTATTTCTAAAGATTATAATCAAGAACAAGAAAGATAGCAAAGACTCAAATCTTCAATTTTAAAATAAGAAGACTAGGAGAAAGCAACTTGACCTATAGATAAAATTTATCATCTCTTATACTACAATTGTAATTAAAAATAAAGAGCAAAAAAACTCACAATATAAGTTATAAACCCATTTTATAGGATAGCTTTAAAACTTACAACATAATTATAAACTTGATACTTAATTTCAACTAATAGGTAACTAGAAAAATTAATCTTCAATTTTAAAGTTATCTGACTCTGGGCAAGTCACCCAACTTCTGTGAGTTTGGCTTCTGGGTCTGTTAAATTAGATTTTATCATCACCAAATTTATACAGCTGCCATTAGGACAGAAGGTTAAATGTGGTAATTTTTGGGAAAGCACCTAGTAATATTACTTAGCAGATAGAAAGAGATCTGTAAATGGCTCCCCAAATCAAAGCTGTTAAGAAAAAGAACAACCATGATATATAATAGAATTTGGAAAAAAGAAAATATAAAAACTTGTAAAGAAAAATATATGATGTTTACATAGCCTTTTAGTATCTTATTAAGGACCTCTATTTAATTTTCAGTCACATAGCTGGCCCTCTGTATCTGTGGGTTTTGCATCCACAGATTCAACCAATGGTAACTTAAAAAAAAACAAACATTTTTTTAAGTCCGTTGTCCATTTGTAATGGGCCAAACTGAATCCATGAGAATGAAGTTATATGTAGGCATACCCTGCTGTTGATTATATGCAAAAAAATAGATAAGTAAATATTACAGTATTATCAATGTAAAAAAAGTAATTACAAATAAACAGTCAAGAGAGAGAGAATTAAGGAGATTAAAAAAGATATTTTAAGGAAAGTGATAAGCCAAAACCAGTTTGGCTCAATGGATAGAGCGTCGGACTGCAGACTGAAAGGTCCCGGGTTTGATTCCTGTCAAGGGCACATGCCCAGTAGGGGGTGTGCAAGAGGCAGCTGATCGATGATTTTCTCTCTGTTGTTTCTAACTCTCTATCCCTCTCTCTTCCTCTCTGTAAAAAATAAATAAAATATATTTTTTTAAAAAAATACCCAGCACCATGCGCCAAATGGGTGAGCCCAGTAAACTGGCTCTTTAAAAAAAAAAAAAAAAGAAAAGAAAAGAAAAGAAAAGAAAAGAAAAGAAAAGAAAAGAAAAGAAAAGAACAAGAGAAAGAAAAGTTGTAAGATTTGGTTTGGGAAGGGAAATAATTAATTGTTTAGCCTAGTTTAATTAAAAGAATAAAATGTATCATTGGATTTCTAAATAAATCAAATAACTACTCACTGATAAGATGGTGGAGGTGGGTATAATGGGAAATAAAGTGTTAATCATAGCCCTTACACTTATGAAACTCATAGCCAGTTAGAGGGACATGCAGAATATCTTGCCATAGCAAATAATAATAAACAAAATAATAACATAAATACTAAGAATGTCATTGGTTTAATATGTATACAGGGTAGAGTTTTCCAACCCCACTTATGGAAAAGTGAAACTACCCCCTAACAAGGTCACTATAACTAGCAAACTTCTAAACAAACAAATAAAAAAACGTGCATTAAAAAAACTATAACAAATTACAAAGATAAATCTAATTAATTTAGAATTAAACATACACGTACACACAGAGTTAAGCATATTCATAAGTATTCTTATTTGCTTACTTTCGAGGTAGTTTTATGCTCCAAATTTACCCCAAGGGTATTTTCAATCCATTCTTTAAAAGTTGGTAAAATCATGCCACTAAGTGGATACCTAAGGTACAGAAAGGTAAAAATTAGAGTAAGTTATCCTCATTTAAATTTAAATCTTAAATTCTGCTTTAGTAGTGGTCAAGTAGTGCCTATCCAACCAATCCTCTCATTATAATTATAAACTCTGAATAAAAACAAAACAAATAAAACCCAACTATATATGCAGTTTATATAGACAAAAAGCAGACAATAAAGGAGTGTGTTTGGAAGAAGAAAACAGCACTACATGAGTTTCCTTTTACTTTTATAAATAGGCTTTAGCTTGAGGGGAAGCCCCAGTTGGTACCATAAAAAGAAACAAAATGCAGAAAACCTAGACTTCCTGGCTTGAAGAACCAGAGGACAGTGTTTGAAGTGAGCACACAGCTGGAAAAAGTACAGGGAAATCACAGAAAAGGAGAGAGTCAGAGAGGGACCACTATATACTCTGTCCAAATGTTAGGCTGACTTGAATTACGCATCTATGGATCAGACACTAAGCAGCCCAACTAAGCCCAGCTGCTTGCCACCACCGGGGAAAATTGGGAGTTTGAGATCAGTCAAGTTAACTGCTTGATGTGTAAATAAAAAAAGCCTCTTCAAAAGAATGTAATAGAATCCAGAGTCTCTACAAGATACCATAAACAATGTCCAAGATACATTCCAAAATCACTAGATATGAACAAATTAATAAAGTATAATCTATAATCGAGAGAAGGAAATTAACTAAGAACTTGCCTCAAGATAATCCATGATATTGGAAATAGAACACAATGATTTTTAAAGTAGCTATAACTATGCTAAAGAACAAAAGGGGAAATATATTCCCAGCACGTAACAGAAAGAAATCTCAACAGAGAAATAAAAACTATAAAAAGAACAAAATAGCCCTAACTGGTTTGTCTCAGTGGACTGAAAGGTCCCAGGTTCGATTCGGGTCAAGGGCATGTACCATGACTGTGGGCACATCTCCAGTAGGGGGTGTGCAGGAGGCAGCTGATGGATGTTTCTCTCTCATCAATGATTCTAGCTCTCTATGCCTCTCCCTTTCTCTCTGAAAAAAAATTAATAATATATATTTAAAATATCTATATATTTTAAAAAGAACAAAATAGAAATTCTATAGTTAAAAATCTGGAATAAAATTTAATTGAAGGAACTTAAGAGCAGATTGAAGATGTCTTAACAGATAGAACAAAACATATACAAATTGAAGAATAGAGAAAAAGAATTAAAAAAATGAATAGAGCTTCAGGGACCTTTGGAACAATAACGAAAGAATGCCATTTGTATAAATGGAGAGGAAGAAAAGTATTTGAAAAGGTAATGGCTGAAAATTTCCATATTTGATGAAAGAGAAAAATTTTAAAGTTCAAGAAGGTCAGAAAACTTGCAGAGGATAAATTCAAAGAAATTCACACTAGGTACAACACAGCCAAATTGCAATTAGAGAAAGAGAAGAAAAAGAAAAAATGTTAAAAGCATCTAAAGAAAAATGATACATTATCTACAATGTGATAACAATAAAATTTATGACTGACTTCTCATCAGACACAACAAGGTCAGGAAACAAATGAACACTTTTTAAATGCTGAAAGGAAAAACATATTAACCTAGAATTCACAGAAAAGGAGAGAGTCAGAGAGGGACCACTATATACTCTGTCCAAATGTTAGGCTGACTTGAATTACGCATCTATGGATAAGAATGTGATGCTAACAGATTTACACTACAAGAAATGCTAACGAAATTATCTATAGGCTTAAGGGAATTATAACTCAAATCTTCAAGGTGAAATACATAATAGAAAGAGTAAACACATATGCAAATATACATGACTATTTCTTAATTTCTTTAAAATATGACTGTCTTATAAATTGTAATATATCATGAGTTTATAATTGTGGCAATTATAATAAGAACAGGGGATAGGAAATACACCTGTAGATTTGTAAGTTTCTTAGACTTTACATGAAGAGGATATGACACATTTAAAACACACAAAAGAGCACTACAGAGTGGGGGGAAAAACCATAAAATTTGCTACTCTGATTTTGTTTCCTATATCTTTTATCTCAATCCCTATTTAAAATTTATTTTTTAAAAATCAATATAAATTTTATATGAGGTTGATACAGAAAACTCAAGTTTTTAGAGATTCAACTTTTCAATTTTAGAAATACTTCTCAGAGGTAAAAAAAAAAAAAGTTCTAGAAATAAAGAAAGTAATTGTTCTACCTTATATTAGTATAATGAAGAAGGCTGATATGCAAACAGTAATAATCCAATCTCTGAAAAGATCAAATTATTTTTAAATGTTTTAAATGTAAATGTACTTTACATTTTTATTAAGTAAATACATTACATATTATGTTCCAGGCATTGTTCTAAGTGTTCTATGTATATTAACTTATAATAATACTAGAGGCCTGGTGCACAAATTCATGCACGGGTGGGGGTCCAGCTGCCCGCCCCACTGGGGGCCAATCAAGGCCTGGCTGGTGTGGAAGAGGGACATGGGAGATTGGCCAGGCAGCCCCGCCTCTGATCAGGTTGGAGTGCCGATTGGGGGTCAAGCCAGTCAGGGGGAGGGGCCATGGGAGGTTGGCTGGCTGGCTCCACCCCTGATGGGGGGGCCAGGCCAGCCAGGGTGGGATGGCCACAGTGCACATCATAGTGACCAGTCATTCTGATTGTCTGGGTGCTTGGATTTTATATATATATATATATATATATATATATATATATATATATATGGATTGTGAGTTTAGTATTAGTATTCCCATTTTATAGATGAGGAAGCTAAGGCACAGAGAATTTAAATAAATTAAGGAATTAAAGGAATTTATTTACTCAAAGTCCCAGAGCTAATAAGTTACAAAACCAAGGTTTGAACCAGATTATGAGTAAGGCTTTATTCAGTCTGTGCTCTTAGCCACTGAATGCTACTCCTAGTTTAAGTCTTTCCTTTCCACCATTTCTAGTGATAGTAAACTAAAATTTTTAATGAATGACATTTTGAAAATCACAATAGCTATATTCAGTAATTTTTTCACTATAATGTTCTTGTACCTTCTTTATTTCTCTCTCTACCCCCTGACAAAATTGTTGGTGGGACAGCCAAATAAAACTACTATGCAGTTTGGGCAAAAGTAGGTCTATAGTTGTGAAGAGGTCAAACACAGTTTATTCTTGTATTACTGTTTATTAATTATTTTATTATTTACTATGCATTGCAGGATACACTAAATTAGTATTATGACTCCTATTGTTTAGAAATTTACAACCTAGTTCAGTCAAAGCTACAAAGACATTTTATTTGTAGAGTGAACATACTGGCAGGAAACATGCAACTTTTACCAAAAATGTGGTAAGAAGAAAGCCAAGTGCCTATAACAATTGTTGAAACACACTACTAAATAGATCTTTATCATGACTGAAGATTAGTTTGAGAACTTTAAAAAATGGTCTTTTTGTAAAATATAAAGTGAGATCAAATTACCACCTTTCCTTAGAACCAAGGTAGATTGTACTGTAGAAGATTCAGAATCAGAACAAGTCCAGTGAAATCCCAATACATGGAAAGAAAACTCTGTGGGTATAGGTAAATATCCAAGAAGAAAGGCCACCTGAGGATTTATAATGACCTAACGCAGGGCAGTGCATAGAGGCAGCAAAATATTAGCAGATGCAACCATTTACCAGAGTGAGTTCTGTAACTGCTAAGCAATTCAATAGCCTTTTATACTTAAGATAAAAATACAATGTGCAACAAACCCAGACAAATTCTTTTCATGTAAACACTAACTTGTGCTGTGAAATCTTTCAAGTCAAAGAATGACACTTTTCAAAAATTTTAGTTTATAGAAGTCTTAGCTCTAGTTCTGAAATATTATCCATCTGCTGCTTAAAATAAGGAGGATTAAATTCATCTATATTTACCCTGTTTCCCTGAAAATAAGACAGTGTCTTATATTAATTTTTGCTCCCAAAGATGCGCTAGGTCTTATTTTCAGGGGATGTCTTATTTTTCCATGAAGAAGAATATGGTACACATTTATTGTTAAATGAAAATAAAGGAAATTTATTACCTGTATACGGTACGGTAGTACGGTAATTGTCAACACAAACCAGACAAACTGTGAATCCTACAGTATCAAAAATTTACTCATTTATTCAATGACAATCATGTTATCATCTTCTGAAACATCATCATAACAATCCAATTCCTGAATTTCCTTGTGAATTTCTTATGACTCCATTTCTTTCAGAATCAGTGGACCAAATCTCTCATGTTTAGCAATAGCATTCTGAGACAGAGCCTGGGGGGGAGGGCTTATTTTCGGGGGGATGCCTTATATTTCACTCAGAAGGAAACCTGTAAGTAGGTCTTATTTTCAGAGGATGTCTTATTTTCGGGGAAACACGGTAGAAGAAATAAAAATAACAGGATTATAAATCTAGGAATTTATAGACTGACAAATTACAAATCTGTTCAGAAGATAAGATTGGGTTCGGGGGGAAAAAAGTTCTAATTTTTCCCTAAGATCTAAAATACCTTATAATAATTGCTTCTAATTTGATGGCTAAGTTGTAAATGTCAGTTACTCTCCTAAAAATATATACAATCAATCACATTTCCTCATTAAAATTTCCTAACTTTTCAATGATTTTTGGAGCAGAAATAATGGAATCTCCATAAATTTTCATTGAGAGTCACTATTAATTTCTGGCATCTAACTATTTCTCTTCCTTTCTTTTTAACTCTGTTATATTTCTTTCTTGTATATTTTATCCTTGTTTCCTATGTAGTTATATTTAGTCCCCTACAAAACCATAATAGCAAGTCTTAACAAAACATTTCGAAAATTTTCCTTATAATCTAGTATTACTAACAAAAGGGCAAATTAATACTGTTCAGCCAAATCAGTATTTTCTTACACTCATCCTTTCTAGTCACAACTCCATTTTCTATTTTAGGAATATCACAAACTTCTTATTCTTCTATCCTTTGTCTCTTACTGGAACAATAGAAATTTTTGTCACAGGATAACAATATAAGATGACTAACTCTATTATAGATGACTAAATTTCATTTCTGTGTATGAAGAATTACCCTCTGGATGAGTCTTAGTGGGAACCAAAGACTGCCTGCCTTTCAGTAAGTCAAATGTGCCCAACATTCACTTTCCTGGTCTCCCTTTGCAGGCTCTGCCAATCATATGCAACCTGCCCCCACATCCTGTCCTCTCCCCACCTCCTCCACTGAACTCAGGAGTCAGCCATGCAAAAACAGAAGGCCTTTATTGGATCTATCCCGATTAGAGTGGCACCGGCAGCAACCTTCCAATGTCTAATGTCAACAGATAAATTCTCTGCTTTCAAAGGCACTGTGCTCAAGTACAAGTTGACTATTTGTTCCTTCCTATAAAACAAACATGCTATACCTTTATTAAGGTCAAGAGACAGCAGGAAAGAAATGAAGACAGCGTCTGAGAATTGGTTTTCTAAGTTCAGAAGATTCACTCCCCTCACCCCATCCCCAAAGATGATTGTGTAAAGACAACCTCTACACAGATAAGTTTCTACTGTATTAGACATTATTCTCTTTAAAACGTAAAACATTCATCATCTATAACACTGATAAATTTAATTTTAATCAGAAATTTCTTCTACTTGAATTATATACAATTTCTCAACTAAGCCTCCAACCAACATGCTATCCAGCCATACTCGAGGAATGGAAATAAGAATGTAGATAATATTTATTTTTCCTGTTAACTGGATGATTGGTCCCATATACCAAAATGTTCCAAGATTTATTTCCGGTCAGGGCACTTACAGGAAGCAACCTATCGATTTTCTCTCTCACATCAATGTCTATCTGTCTTTACCTATTCCTCTAAAAATCAATGAAAACATATCCTCAGATGAGGATTAAAAAAATAAAAGAAAAACAAAGGTCAAACGTGCATCTTCACACCTTCAATAAAACTAGTTCCTAATTACTACTCCTGAGGTTTGTTTCAGGTATAAAGTATATTTAAGTTAGAAACATTGGATAATTATGTTTCAAAGAAAAATAATTTCTTTGAAGGAATAAAAGTTTTCTTGCTGATATTTCAATATTTATGTTTAAAATTTTTCATAGAAACAAAAAGTAGGGGGAAAATAACAAAAGAAAGAATAAATAATTACCTTTTCCCAGTCAACTCAACTTGGCCTTTCTTATTGAAGATGAACTTGGAATCATTATATCCCCATCCATTCCATTTCAAAACTTCTTGCCTAATAAGAAAAAAATATATAAATGAGATCTATGCTAAACATCTTAAAACAAAAGAATGACTATTAACTTTCACAGTCATTTAAAAGACTTTATCCCATTAATATTGTATTTGTTTATGTATTAAATTTTCCAAATATAGAATCACTCTAATGAGCAGCACTTGCTTCACAAAGGGCTACAACCACTAAATTTAATGCATTCAAAGAAAAAAGGAAGAAAAAGAACAAAGGAAAAAAAAATATACTTAAGAATAAAATATGCTTTATTTTGTACATTGAGTTTATATTATAGGATGGCTAAAAATTTTTGCAATAAATTCCTTGAATAGGAAACACATTTTTGCCTTATTTTAAAAAAGGCAATTATGAATCTTCTATGATGAAAAAGACCAATTTACAAAGTAGATTCAATAGTAATGACATTACCAGCAGTCCATTAAAGTCCATTAAAAATCTGAGTGCTACATCTACAACCATTCTAAATCCTTCCTTCTATAATGTATAGACTCTACCTTGACCTACATATTAACATTAACATAACAATAACTATACCAGTTTCCAGTAGTCTAAAACAATATGGTATTTTTAATTACCAAAATATAGTATTTCATAGTTTTAAAATTTTTCATCAAAATCCAGGTTCACTTATTCAATTTGCATATTACAAAAGAATAGGTCTGACCTGGGGCAGTGGCAGCCAGGCATGAGGCGGAGGCGGCCAAGCCCAGGGTGGCCAGTCCAGGAACACCCAGACCCGGAGTGGCCGGGCCCGGAGAAGCCGGGCCCAGAGCAGCCGGGGTGGGAGCAGCCAGACCCAAAACAGCAGTAGCCAAGCCCAGAGCATCCAGGTCGGGAGTGGCCAGGCTCGGAGCGGCCGGGCCCGGGGCAGCCGGACCCAGAGCAGCCGGGTCAGGTGCGGCCAGGCCCGGAGCAGCGGCTGCCAGGCTGGGAGCAGCCAGGCCCGGGGGAGCAGCCGGGTCAGGTGCGGCCAGGCCCGGAGCAGCGGCTGCCAGGCTGGGAGCGGCCAGGCCCGGGGGAGCAGGCGGGTCGGGTGCGGCCAGGCCCGGAGCAGCGGCTGCCAGGCTGGGAGCGGCCAGGCCCGGGGGAGCAGGCGGGTCGGGTGCGGCCAGGCCCGGAGCAACGGCTGCCAGGCTGGGAGCGGCCAGGCCCGGGGGAGCAGGCGGGTCGGGTGCGGCCAGGCCCGGAGCAGCGGCTGCCAGGCTGGGAGCGGCCAGACCCGGGGGAGCAGGCGGGTCGGGTGCGGCCAGGCCCGGAGCAGCGGCTGCCAGGCTGGGAGCGGCCAGGCCCGGGGGAGCAGGCGGGTCGGGTGCGGCCAGGCCCGGAGCAGCGGCTGCCAGGCTGGGAGCGGCCAGGCCCGGGGGAGCAGGCGGGGCTGGTGCGGCCAGGCCCGGAGCAGCGGCTGCCAGGCTGGGAGCGGCCAGGCCCGGGGGAGCAGGCGGGTCGGGTGCGGCCAGGCCCGGAGCAGCGGCTGCCAGGCTGGGAGCAGCCAGGCCCGGGGGAGCAGCCGGGTCGGGTGCGGCCAGGCCCAGAGCAGCAGCAGCCAAGTCCAGAGCAACTAGGTCGGGAGCGGCAGTGACCAGACCCGGAGCAGCTGGTTGTGGAACGAACCAGAGCAACAGAGGCCAGGCCCTGAACAGCCAGGCCCGGAACAGCTCACTCCTCGCCTGCCCCTGCCCCATGGCTGCCTCTCAGACATGGCTGGAAACTTTCGTGGGAACTTGAGGGTCCGCTGAATCAAGTGATGAAGGCTTAGATCTGGATGTGTTGAGTTAGTATAGGGCTGGGGTGTTGATCTGTGAGTGCCTTGGGTGGGGCCTAGATGAGGCTGGTGGACCTATTGGGAAATGTCTTTTGTGTGAAGTGTATCATTGGGCATGTGGAGGTATTATTGATATGAGAAAATGCTAAGTAACTGATTTACTATCTGAAAAGGGATTTACTATCGGGGAAATTGAGGGAAGAAGAGACTGAACATAAACTGCACCTATGGATGAGGACAATGGGGGATGGGGAGGGGGCAGAGGGTGGGGTGGGAACCTGGTGGAGGGGGGAAGAAATGAGGAACCTTTGTAATAATATGAACAATAAAGATTGATTTTAAAAAAAATAAATTAAAAAAAAATAATAAAAAAAAATAAATAAAAAAAAACAAAAAAAAAACAAAAAAAAAAAAGAATAGGTCTGAGCCTATGCAGAACACAACAGGCAAACAAATTTCAGTGTTATGTCAGATTTTATTTTATGTTATAGAATGGTACCCTAGAATATATGGGCTGTTGAAATAAAGTGATGGCAATTTTCAGTTGGAGATCCAAGATGGCAATGGAGAATGTGGAAGTTACCTCCAATTCCTCACAAGACAAAACTGCAATGACCACTAAAATCCTGAATAACTAACTGAAGATTAGCGATTAGTTTAATCGCCACCCAAAAGCCAGTGTACCCAGTGGTCAGTGTGAGACAACACTAGACTACAACTCCACACATCCATAAGCAATACACTCAAGGGGCAGACTCAGTGAGCACCAAAGCCCCACTGAAGCAAGTTCTACTCTATAAGGGTGTCTCCTGCACAGCAGCTCTCCCACTGTAGTCACAGCTGGTCCCCACAGCCAACTGGCCTGAAGATCAGTTCCTCCCAGTGACACCAACAGCAATCAAGGCTTAACTACAACAAGACTATGCACACAGTCTACAAAAGGGTGCACCTAAAGTATCCACCTCAGGTGACTGGGGAGGCTGAGCCACTGGTCACTATAGGACACCTACTACACAAAGCCACTTAGTAGCTCAAGGAGTTTTAGAAGCTCTACCCAATACATAGAAACAAACACGGGGAATTAGCCAAAATGCAGAGACAAAGAAACATGTCACCTGATAGAAAGCAAACTACTGGATATAGAGTTCAAAACCATAGTTATAAAGTTACTCAAGACTCTTCTAGAAATCTCCAAGGGATTTAGTGAGACTTTCAAGGATCTTAGTGAGAATGCCAAAAAAAAAAAAGAAAGAAAAGAAAAGAAAGAACTCCTTAGCACTACCACAGAGGCAGGACCACCATTGCTGTGCTTGCCAACTGTGAGCCTGGCTCAGGGCTTCTGCCTAAGCAATGCTCCCCCTGGTGGTCAGTGGATGTCATAGTAACTGGTCATTCCACCTATTGTCAATTTGCATATTAGCTTTTTATTATATAGAATAATGAATTCTGACACTTGGAATAATGACCCCAAAGAATTGCAAGCACTAAAATGAAGAATGATAAAAGAATCACCAACTTTCCATAAAATTCAAAGATTTAAATCTCAACTAACCCCAGATATCAATTAACCAGGCTGATCTCTCAGACTTTCCAATTTCTTAGATTTAAATCTAACTACACCAAATTCAATGTCTTCAAAATGGAAGACTCCTCCTCCTGGCAAGAAAAATAAAAATTTGGCTTGATTTTACTATATGTAAAACAAAACAGTGTTTTGTTTCTTTTTAAACATGTACACATCTGAACACAGTACCAAATGGTGAGAAACTACTGTATTAGCTGGTGTAACAAATGAAAATGGAGAAATAAAATAGCATCACATATACACAAGGTGGCAGTATTCTCCCATCATATAAACACACAGTATTCTGCATTACACTGCTGTTTGCACAATTTTTAACTGAAATATTTAAGGTGCCATTATTACTATTTTTATTTTTATTATCATTATTATGAAAACTATAAAAAGTTACTTTATTTTAAAAATGAGAAATTTTTATTTTACATCTCTGTACATACACTGTCAAATTATTATTCCTCTAATAATAAACTATAAGAATTCTGAAGAAAATGCATAACTTACATACACATTACTATTTCTAATCCAAAAATTTTTCATTAAAAATATGCTTTAGCCTAGTTTTATTTTGGGTTAGCAATAAAAAGTTCAATTAACTAATAACTTTAAAAAAGTAATCTTCCCCCCAATGTAATTACAATAATCAAAATTCTAATAAAAGACACTTCACTTAAAATAGTTCAAATGAAAACCAAATTTTCACCTATCTTTTCCAATTTAAACAATAAGAAAATAACATATAATCTTTTAGCTTTAGAAAAAATAAAAACTGAAGTATAAAAAACTTAAGCCCCAAAGCTGGATTTCTAACTAGCCACACTCAATATCAGTTAAATTCAAATTAATTCCATGTGTAGTACAATATTTTTAAGTTAAAACAAAAACAAAAAAAACAGCCCAACTGATGGGGCTCAGTGGTTGAATGTAAACCCTTGAACCAGGTTTGATTACTGGTCAGGGTATATGCCCGATTGCAGGCTGGATCCCCAGTAGAGAGCGTGTAAGGAGGTAGCTCACTGATGATGTTTCATCATTGTTTCTATCTCTCTATTCTTCTCTCTTCCTCTCTCTGAAATCAATAAAAATATATTTTGAAAAATAAATTTAAAAATAAAAAAACATTTCAAGGATTTTTGTGCTAATTAAAATCCTTTTTAACAGGGTATATGCTTAATTATTTCAATATCCAGATAACCTAAAAAAAATCATAAAAATAAAGTGATAAAAAGTGATGAGAAAGATACCAAGATAAACAGATATATCTCTGAAACGACTTGTTACCAAAAAATCCAATAAATAAAATAATATTTCTACTGGCTTAATTTTTTTAATTGAAGCTGAGTTCTCATTAGAAATACAAAGGTTTAATGAGGGGAGAAAACTATAGAATACTGCTTAAGTCTAAATTTAATTTGAAATGTATATACCTTAAAATACATTTAAAACCATATTCATATCTAACCTACAGATCCTACAAAATTAATTCTAAAATTCAAAAGAAAAATCCCTATAAAACTAATTACAATGTTTACTGCCTCAATCTAACAATGCAACTAATTCTTTCAAATAATTTAATCTAAATAGCTTACTTATAAGTTCAATAATTTATGTGTATTATAAGAGAAACCTCTTTATAATAAA